ATAAAAGAAACCTGTATTCCTTCTCGGTAATTTCATTTACAAAATATTTACTGGTAAGTTTTTGTGTTTTGGTTTTTTTTTTCCTGTAGAAAATGAAAATTGAATTGGATCATGTGAAACAGCATCTCCTGGTAAGTGATGAGAATTCCAATTAGTTGACTGTTTCTACTCTATTGCAGTTACAGGTATTTTTATTATACTATATTTATAAAGAACCAGCGGGTACAACTGGCACAAGTAAAAAGACAAAGGTACAACAATACATCTAAGAGATCAAAAAAATTTGACACACAAATATAGGAGTTGAGGCCCCTCTTCCTGTGGGAACTTACAATGTAGATAGATTGGTGGAGACTGCAAGGGTGGGAACGATGTTAATAGAGAGTGAGATGAGGCAATTTATTGGGTTAGTGGAATGTGTTGGGTGGTAGGCTCAGTGGCCAAACTAATAAAGATAGGGCCCTGGTGCAAGAAGTTTTTTGGGTCCCTTCTAGACCAAAAGGTATATCCTCATCTGTCGTACAGCTCCCATAATGCTATGCCAGCTGGGGATCTATCCTTTAGCCATCCTTGATGTTTTGTATTTGTGAACAGTGTTTGTGCATTTTAATGTAAGCATGTGTTTGCATGGGGTATATGTGTGCATGTATGAATGCAGGGGTGTGTTTGTATGTAGTGTTGGCTTTTAAATGCGGGTGTACATTTTTTGTGCAGTAGTGGTGTTTGAATGCAGGGGTGTGTTTGTATGTAGTGCTGGCAATTGTGTGTATGTACTTACATCCCAGCAATGAAACATACTTACACAGATATACATACACGTTAACAACCCCAGATACACACATTCAGTTTCACTCAAGTGTTGGGAATGGAAGTCAGATTGTGGGGGGTCAGGTAGGGAGTTGGAGGACAGGTAGTGGGCTATGAGTTTGGATGTTAGTGGAAGCAGTGATATGGGGCAGTAGTCTTCAGTACGGAAGAACGTTTGCATGTTTTGAAAGAGAATGGGAATTAAGTCATATAGAAAACCAGCATCTGTTAGTCCTGTGAGCCTTTACGAGCATTGTCTGTGTTTGGCTGCCAAAGGGTAATGGGAATTACTGTCCACTAAATGCTGGAGCCTCTCTCTAGTATGGGACTTCCCCTGACATAATGATTAACGTATAGTTTCAGGTAAGCCTGTCTGAAAACAGTCTATGGTACTAATGTGTTAAACATCCCTCAAATGTATAATTTTGTTTTTAGGAAAAAAAATTGTTTTTTTCTACTTTTATTTCTCTCAATTACTTTTCAGAATGAAACCAATAGGATCCGTGCAGACACCAAATTGGACATCAATCTTGAAAGGAGTCGTTTGGCAGACATGGTAATTTATTCAGTATTTGGGGAGGTTTTTCCAATTACCATAACCACTACAGCCCGCTGAGTACCCTGCGAGGCGCCAACTCCATATGTGTAGCGCTTCAAAACACTGCACATGCTGACTCCAGGCACCATGACCACTTTAAATAACTGAAGTGGCCATTGTGCTTTGAGTAACCCTTTTTATAGACATACCTCAAGCACCACATGTTAGATGCAGTCTGTTGGTAAGTTTACACTTAATATGCTGGGTGACGTTATTTTATTTAAAAAAATTATTTTTTGTCTTTTTGGGTTTTGAGAACAATTTTTTTTTTTGCTCGGTTAGCCATTTCAAGTCATTGTTAGGTTTTATCAGTTTTAATATGTTGTTTTGTTTTTTTCTCAATGTATTCACCATATAATGAGTTAAATAGAATAGGCCATGGTGGAGTGTCCCTTTTTAGATGTGAAATATGTGATTTCCATTTTACCATTCCTAGTTCCACATGACACCCAGTTCCTGACCATGTATATCAGATAGAAGAAAATAGAAATTCACTTTTGGGTTTACTAAGATGCACAATAAACATTTATGCTCTGGTGTTGGCTGTCAGGAACCAGTTTAGGGAAGGAGCTGAGCCCACCAGAGATTTCTCTGTTTCAGCAAAGTCACCTAAAGTGACATGGTCATATTTTGAAAAATGTTACGTGATAAAGTGAGACACGCCATTTATCAAGTTACTCTACTGCCACCTAGGGGTTATAATTGAAAATGACAACTAAGTTGAATTTTATACACTCATTACTCGGCATTCTACCTGCTAAACTATGTAGGGTACATCACTGTACATGCGCTTTAAGGGACACGCCAGAATCTTAAAGCACTTTAATTTTGCTGAAAAGCTTTGTGTGTAAATAGTGTCCTCTATTTTGAAAAAAGTGCAGATTTCAATAGAAATTGACACTTTTATAAGTTAACCTGGTTACACCCCCTTGGCACTCAAGCAGACAGCACGTAAAACTACTTATTTTTACCTGCTGTCTGCCTTGCAAATACCTCTAATGGAGCTGCATTGAGTTGTGTATGTTACAATAACATTATTAGTTAAATAACATATATATATATTTTTTTTTTTTTTAATTATTACTTTGTTATTGGCCATAACAATGCTAATACATGTTCTCAATATCTTTTGGCTATGTGTACAATAAAATAACATTTTGTTTTTTGTGCTCACGCAAGTCTTTCCGTGCCCCTTTGCTTAACGACCAATGTGCTCATTAGTTGGGATATTGATGCAAACCTCAAATCTCAAAAAAAAAAAAAAAATCTTTAAAGGAATAGAAAGAGGTGGTGAAACAGAAGCACTGTACCTGCACTGAACTAGATTTTGTTTCTAACTTTTTTTTTTTATTATTATTCTTTATTTTGAGTTGTGCAGAAGGTTACAGAACAGGCTTGTGCTGCCACAACAACAACAACAACAACAACAACAAGCAATTACATCAGACATAGAATGATTGCAGCATGGCAGACGAAATTAATGCACATTTTTATGGTTATGAAAAATATTCGGTGCGGGCTAGGCACATATGTGCGTTATTCGGGTGAGGTTCGGTAATTGAACCAGCAAAACAATCTGGGTTTAAGATTACTATCACGCGAGTACTTTGGAAGCTTACACTACCTTAGTTCGTTGAGTAGTAATAATAGCAGGATTAATAACAAGGTAGGATTTATAGACATACTGCTTAGAGTTCTATACTGTATTGGGCATACAGGCTGCGTGTAGCTCGTCTAGGTTAGCTTATAGGAGTATATAACTAGGCTGCCCAAAAGCTTATTGCTGAGCATGGGAAGCTGTTGCCTAACAAATGGAAAGCTACAGCATAGATGAGGTTTATTATAGCTAGTACAGTAGTAGGGTTAAGTATATACACGCTAAAGCAGGGTTGTTTGCATTTCAACTGTGTCATTAGGATCAAGATCATGCAGTAAACAGTAGAAAATGGTAGGGCAACGTGTTGAGGGTAACGAAAAACACCAGGGCAGCTTATTGATATTGACATCTCAGAGCTGCAACTCACTAACGGTAGTCCCTTGCACAGTTCATCTGATGCCTGACATCGTGAGGTCATGGGAGCTTGCATGAGGTGCACAGAGGGCTCGTGAAAAATCCCCGATGCGGTGGGCCACGGTCGGCTGAGGGATTGGCCACCTCCCCTGCGCCTAGTCACTAGGGTAGGCCGCATGTAGGCCTCAGGTTCGTCCCCTGTCTGCGATCACCCAGTCGGGTCGCTGCTTCGAGTTAGCCTCCCTTCCATATCAGACCCCTATTTCTGGGGCTTAAAAGCGGACGATTCGTCATTTGTGGAGGTACTTTTGGCTTAATTTGGGCTGTTTGGCCCGGAGGAGTCGACCACGTGCGACCACTCAGCTAGGCTGTCAAGCCCCCTTCCCCGTTTCTAACTTTTTAATACATATTTAAGAGCATAAAACAAAAGAAAATGTTAACATGAGGCATATGTGATTTTTCTTGTTTGTGATTTATTCTAGTTTAATGTCTAGAGAAGTTACAGTTTCTCTTTAATCGTCACTCTGTCAGATGCCCTTTAACTAAGCACTGCTATAGAACAGATTTGACCATTTAGAGAGGCAGATTTAGTGTTGGCCGTCTGAACGGAATTCTTGGAGCGGTTATTCTTATTTAAGGGGAGTAGCACTGATTATCACCCTGAGAGTTGGGGCTTTTTATATGGTGTAATTGGGGGCGGGTGATGCTAAAGTCGAATAATGCATATTTCGTGATCTGCAATAACATTTTTTTAATTGTTACTTTTCAGTTTACTGAACAAGAAAAGAAGCTAATGGAAAACAACACAGAATTTCATAAAAAGGTAATTGTAAAAGAAAGGTGTGCATTGATTGTAAGTAAGAAATTACAAATAAAAAAATGGCATAGAAAATGATACAATATCAATTCATGATTAAAGTAGGCAGGACACATTTGAGAGAAGTTTGGGCATTTAATGTTTCAAAAAGGAGTGACACAAAAAGAATAAAATGGTGTGACTAGATGGGCCACTTTGATATTTGTTTGTTTTGGTAATACGATTTTGAAAAAAAAAATGTTTTTCTGCTTTCAAGTTTACAAATCAGTTTAATGTATTTGGAAACTGAATAATGTATTATCCCCATTTCATTACGTCTGGACTGGATAAGCCAATATAATTAAAAAAAATAACATTGTGTAATTAAAGGAACACTATAGTCACCAGAAGAGCTATAGCTTATTGTATTTGTTCTGGTGAGTAGAATCATTCCCTTCAGACTCTGCTGTAAAAACTAACTTTTTAGAGAAAATGCAGTGTTTACATTACAGCCTAGTGATTTACTTCACTGGCCACTCCTCAGATGGCTACTAGAGGTGCTTCCTGGAGTAGTGCTGCACAGTATGACTGACATTCAGTATCTCCACCCTCTGCATGCAGACTCTGAACTTTCCTCATTGATTCAATGCATCTCTATGTGGAGAAGCTGATTGGCCAGGGCTGTGTTTGGCTTGTGCTGGTTCTGCCCCGGATCTGCCTCCGTCACAGTCTTAGCCAGTCCTATGGAGAAGCATTGTGATTGGCTCAGACCATCACTTTTGATGATGTCAGCAGGCAGTTTAGAGGCAGACGGGGGCAGAACCAGCAACTGCAGACTTGAATAAAAGTAAGATTTTATAATATTTAGGGAGGCCAGGGAGGGCTAGATGGTGGTTTTAACACTATAGGGTCCGGAATACATGTTTGTGTTCCTGACCCTACAGTGTTCCTTTAAGTTTAGGTATCTCTGAACAGTCTAAACAAGAAATAAATGTGTTTAAAATAAATGCTGCTCTTAAAAGCAGCCTTTAATGACATAATGAACATAATAAAGGGGTTAAGGTGTCTCCTGTACCAAATCCATTGACCAGAAGTGCTGCATCTTTCATAATAAATGCATAGAAACAGGGCGTGCTGTTTTTATGTGCTAACAGTAACGCACACCCTGCATAGGGTACACAACAAACATTGGAGTAGGTTTTTAGTTTCAAACTTAATCTTTATTTTGGATTTATTGCAGAATGCAAGTACAGATGGCATTATTACAGAAATTCACAAGAAGATAGATATTGACATCGCTTCTCTCAAAACACTTATGGAATCTCATAAACTGGATACAATACGCTATCTGGCAGGTAAGATCCATGACCACAAGGCACTGAAAGCCACTGCATAGTGTTTAACAAATCTGCTTTAAACAGGCATTTTGATTAAGCTCCATAGTCTCCTAACATTGAGGAACTTGGGTGAATTGATAATGCAAAGTACTCCTTCATTATTGTTGTCGGCATCATATAACTTAGACAATATTAATTATCTGGTTTAGCCTGCCTCCATCGATCACTCTCAGGGAATTGATGTCGTCCAGGTGCAGCTAAAATGAGTGGTTATTTAGTGTTAACACCCTCGGTTTATATCAAACCATTCTTATAAGATTTGATATTAAATGTGGCGATGGTGCCATGGGGCCCTAAGTTTAAAAGGGACATTCCACTATAACAAAAAATCATTGTTAAAGGACCACTATAGTGCCAGGAAAACACTCGTTTTCCTGGCACTATAGTGCCCTGAGGGTGCCCCCACCCTCAGGGACCCCCTCCCGCCCGGCTTTGGAAAGGGGAAAGGGGTAAAAACTTACCTTTTTCCAGCGCTGGGCGGGGAGCTCTCCTCCTTCTCTCCTCCTCCGATCCTCCCCGCCGGCTGAATGCGCACGCGCGGCAAGAGCTGCGCGCGCATTCAGCCGGTCGCATAGGAAAGCATTTACAATGCTTTCCTATGGACACTGGCGTGCTCTCACTGTGAAAATCACAGTGAGAAGCACGCAAGCGCCTCTAGCGGCTGTCAATGAGACAGTCACTAGAGGATTAGGGGGAAGGCTTAACCCATTCATAAACATAGCAGTTTCTCTGAAACTGCTATGTTTATTAAAAAACGGGTTAACCCTAGCTGGACCTGGCACCCAGACCACTTCATTAAGCTGAAGTGGTCTGGGTGCCTAGAGTGGTCCTTTAAGTTGCTATATCCCTAGTGAAAGTATGTACCTATTTTAATGCATTTTTCTTTGAGGGTATATCTTAAAACAGCTTGCAAAAACAGCAAATTTCTTGTCTGCTGCCTTTGCAAGCCCTCCCCTTCAAATCCCACCCAAACTTTCTGTGGCTGTCCAATCAGACTTCTAATGCAGAAGTTTTTGTAAAGTTTTTGTAATGTATGTGCTCTGGGCAATTGGTGCCGCTTGAGTTTAGCTACACTTAAAGTTAAACCAGGAAGTAACAAGACCTGCTGCCTGAATGACAGCCATGGGTGCGTAACAAAGTTAATTTATGAAAGTGTCCATTTCTATTGAAATCTACACTTTTTGTAAAATCAAAAAAAGACACACTCTTCACACGTAAAACTTCAGATTGTTTGGAGTGTTCCTTGAAAGCAACTCTCTTACCTCAAAACAATTTTATCTCATTGAAACCACTTCAGTGAGCTGTAGTACTAATGTTGCCTATAGATAATGCATTAAAATATTGTAGGGGTAATTGTGAGACAAAAAACTGAATAGTATGTCTGACAATATGCAAAAATAAATAAATGTATAAAAACCATACTTTTTAGGTTTCTGCATTTTCTAATAATCCTCATGTATGGAGCTTCCTGCCATGAGCTCTACACAAACTAGGAAATAGCAGACGGGGGCACTCCAGGCACTAAATCAGCTTTAATCTGTCAATGTGCTGTATTTCTGCATGCTCAAGTATGGAAGTTTTTTGCAAAAATAACAAACGTTTTGCAGCTCGCTGCACTATAAGCTTGCCCTCATAGCCAATGCCTCCCCCCCCCCCTTTTAGCCCTGTACTTAGAACTTAAGTTACTGACAGCACTGGACATTGAGCTTGGCTACAGGGAGACCAAAAGCTGGTGTGACACGGTAAGGATACAGGGAAACACGCAGGATGTATGTCTGTACATGCCTGCCATTCACTGTGAATGCCTACTAAACCGTGCTTTCATAGCCCAGTGTTGTGTGAGCGCACCTGGTTCTAAAAGCACCATTTTGTAGACATTTATAATTCTAACCAACATTTACTGAACATAATGCATGTGTCATCCCCACGGTCTTACAAGTACTTGGATGTTGGTAACAAACATTTAGCAAAATCCTGCATACAGGAACACTGTGACAGGGGACAGTCTAACACTATAACTGCAGAGAGTATGGACTCTAGATGTTGGGGACTATATCTCCCATAATGCTGGCAAAGCATCATGGGAGATGTAGTCCATAACATCTGGTCTACTGAAGACTGCCTGCCTGCCCCCAGATAGACTGATAGGGTGCTTGGACATTCCTGTTATGGATCTAATTGTGATTGATTATACTATGAATATCATGCTGCCATTCATTTATTTTTATTTTTACAGCTTCTGTATTTACATGCCTGGCAATAGCCTTGGGATTTTATCGACTGTGGAAATGAAAAAGAAAAGTCTTCCATATGAAAACGTTTGTATATAATAAGAATGCATACAAATGCAATGTTTCATTTAAATTACAGCTGCAAATATACCAATTTCCTGTGTATTGCTCATATTTGAATATGGTTTTGCTATGTGTGGTTCAATCTACCTGGGAACCTGAAAGTGCGACTAATCAGAAGTTCTTTCTAATCGGTCTCCATCTGATAAGTTAAATGTTGCATTATTGATAGCGGATTAGATTTGGGTGAGAAATGTTCAAAGTCTTGGATTTCGGGTGGACGCAGCTACTAATACCGCTCGGGTATCCAGAGCACTGCCCTAGTAAGAGGGTCCCAGGAGAGTTTCCAGGTATGTTTGTGAACCCTGTCTTGCGCCATTGCTATGTAATGCTGATTGACGCACAATAATATCAATATTTTTTGTTACTATCCTACTTATTGCGGTTATAACAAAAATAGCACAATTGCAGAAAATATGAAAAAAACTCCATTAAAAGTGCCTTTGTCTAATGATTGTCATCAGACCAGTATATTTTCTGTATATTCTGAGTATTATATTGAGTAATAAATGCACTGAACATTTAAGATTAAAGTTTGTTGTTTCTGAAGAACGTGTCTTGACTCCTTTTGGAGATTTGAACCCACAGAATGTGAGAGGAGTGAGTGATAAGAATATAGTATGGAATACCAGCAATCCGTATGACATGCCACAAATCAAAACCAGTTACTTACATAGAGGGTTAAATGTGCCCTGGATCTCTGAACCTGCTGACTGTGTGTGTATGTAACACAACCATATATCACTTGCCATGCCCAGAATGTATTGTTGGCCGTTCCCGGTTGCCCAGCATTAGCAGTATTTGGATGTAGTATGCCAGCCAGAGGGGGCGCACATCAGATTTTTCCATAGCAGACAAATACGCTGTTCCTTTATGTTCTTAAACATGAAAACTGGGCTCTGAATTGGATTAACAAATTAAATCATGTATTTTGTTTAAAAAAGGAAAACTGAGTTCACAGTTTACGAAAAGACTTTACTGTCTTTTGGGTTATATGTTGTGTGCTGTTTTTGTTTAACAAACTTACACTTGATCTATTCACGGAATAACAAGTTATTTTTCACATAGATTTCCCTCCCACCCCCCCATTAAATATTCCTCCAAGAGCTCGGTGGAGAGGAATAGGAGTTACAGTCCTAGAGTTATAAGCACAAGAAGTGCACTGCACTCTTATGAATCCAGCAAGTTGTATAATTGCATCATGTACATGTTCGATAAACTTGTTCTGTAAAAAATAAATATTTAACTTGCCGAATCCTGAATCAAAGGACGCTGCATTTATCATTATCTGCATTTACATCTATAATTTCAATAAAATGCAGAATGTATTCCGAATGCCTATAGTGCAACTTGTAATTGAAAAAGGAATATGGGGCCAGAGCATTTTGTAATTCATCTTTTTATTGAATGCCAAAACACATTTGTAATGTATGAACCAGATATTAACGAATGATCTATAAGGCTTGCACATTCGAGACTATATTTAATTTTTAACAAAATCTGAAAGGCGAAACAACAAAATTACAAACAGGGTGATTGAGAATTGTCTGAGATTCAAAATGAATCTGAAATTTAAGGTCAAAATAGACTAACTTTCAGCAAAATTCTCAGCTAAGCTTTAAGTTTGGCTACTTTGGCTTAAATTGTAATTGCCGAATATTCACGTTACTCGTTATACAAGATTCTTCATTAAAAAGATAACCGTTTTTGGGGGGAGATTTATCAAGACTAAACGGGATATTCAGGAAGTACTAAATGTTGAGATATGCTGTTGGTTGCCATAGTGATTGCTTTTTATTTAGCACTTTCCCTAAAAAAGATAAGCAGGGTAATTCACTAAATTGAGTATTGTCAGGAATTTAAATATAAGGCCAAACTAGCCAAATTGGAGAATCTTTATACTTCAGCTGTTTTGGCCTTGACGTTAAAATTAACTTTGAATTCAAAATTTCTTCACATTAGTGAAGCTCTCAAGGACATCACTGGGAATTATTTTATTTTATTTTATTATTTTTTAATTAATACGGCCTGTACAATATTCCGAAAACACTTAATGGATGAGAATTAACAAGCAAAAATAGCGAAAACATCTCATTTAAAATTAATAGCAATGGCACTTTACATTTGTAAAGGAGCGTAAATTGAGTACATGTTAATGCATAACAAATGTTTAACTTTGAGACAGTTACCATTTAAACTCCACCCTTTGAAATCTGGCTGGGGAGCATGGGATACTGGATTTCTTTAATGTATAACAAACAATGACAACTTTGACTCCTGAGACATATATAATTTCTGTACAAAATGTAATGTATACCCAATTTACTTCTCACTGACTCGCCTCATGAAGACACCATTGGAACTGTGCTGCGAAGGGATTTTTTTCTTGGGTTTTTTCTTATCTTTGTATATATCTGACAGCTTTTCCCCCTGGGGAAAAATAACAATCAAAAATTCAATGGTAAAAATAAAATGGACCCTCCAGTTTTAAAGAGCAGTTTAAAACCCAGACATATGAATGTAATGCAGGATAAAGAATATTATTTATACTTTAAAATTTTACTTACTGCCCCCTCCCTGCAGCCCTCATTTCTGCACAGGATGAGCAAATAAATGAAAATTTAATATTTAATTTTATGTATCCCTGAACAGCAATCTTTACACAAAATAGCTTTTTTGTCCTAGTTTTTGTGATCGTTATACACACTTGATTTCAAATAAATGTTACTTTTTGTTTGTTTAAGCACATTTAGCCCATTTACTAATTATCTTTTTTTTATAAAAGTATGCAAAATATTACAATGTCACTTTAACCAAAGCCTTCCCAAAGTGACATGATTGCATGCATAAGCTTCTCTGGGGAGAAAAGAGATATCAATCTCCCCAATGTTGCCAAGTAGTCACTTGTGTACTCTTGTGCATGCATGATAATATAGAATAACATATGTATGAATAATTGGATAGTGACAATGACTTTCCCGATTACTGTGGCGTCCTGAGGAGACAGTACTGACGAGCACCGAAAGGACAACTTCGGGATTAAATTGTTAGTTTAATTCCATAAGGTAAAATGGGACCCAGGCCACAAGACTAGATTGTTGAGACAACATTTATGGAAGAACCAGCCACCTATTTGTATTGAATACCTATTTGGTTCGACTATTTGGGCTTTCCAAATTTTCCAACTATATTATTCGTATGTCGAACCATCCACCGAACAGTGTGACCAGCCAGAGGAGTCGTGTGCCTCCAATTGACTGTATTCACATTTAGAAACCGCAAGGAACACAGCCAGCAGTGTTTGGTCGTCGAGTGCAAGGAACTATAAATCGGACACTTCGTGTGTTCGTTCCATTTTACCTATAAAGAGCGGCATTCGTATAGAATCAACTACCAAACATAGGGCACACGACCTCCTGCCATACAAACAAGTTCATTCGTTATTATGATGGTGAATACTCCCAAAAGAAGACTGGTCAAAGCCTAAAACCTTCTTGAACTATTTTCGGGTTTCACCTCGTGGCTGACCGGTCTAAACTTCACTCGAATGGCGTTCCTAATCTACCGAACGGATATGAGTGATATTTCGACAGAGTGGGCATTCAGATCCCTGCCATTCGGTGGCGTTCTGAACAATATTAATGTTTTACAAGGGTTTGAAATAGTGTATATTTTCTGTACCTGGGAGATAATGTAATGAAAGAGGAGTCTGGGAAATGTTGCTTTGTCCCTTGTCCCCAACAAGGTCCATCAGGGGAAAACCCCTGGAATGTAATTAAAAAGCCAACTGTGGGTGAATAAAAATCAGTTGACTCCCACAACTGTGTATCGTCCGGTTATTGGGAAATTGGAATTATGCTGTTGAACTACATTTCTCTTGGATGTCGTTACAGTCTACCAACGGAGATATTGTTTACTTTTGCAGCTCCGCTACAACATCGTTATGAGGAGGGAGTGTTCCTTTAAAGTAGTAGTTCCCAAACCAGTCTTCAAGTACCCCCTACAAGTCCAGAATTGAGGGATTACCCTATTGTGTTTAAAGTGTTTTTTTGTTGTTGTTTTTTCTAAAAACACCTTAGACACAAATGGGTAATCCCTGAATCCTGGACTGTTAGGGGGTACTTGAGGACTGGGTTGGGAATCATTGCTTTAAAGAATCAAGAATGCCAAAATATTAAATAAAAATGGCAGTTTCAATTAAAGAAGCAACTTCATTGGACTCAAATCTAGGAATAATAGTAGTAACTAACTAGGAATATTGTAGTCATTGCTTGCCGTGCTGTAAATTATAATCCTAGAAGGAGTACAAATCTTACCTGCCCTAACCAAATTCATAATTCGAAAAGAATCACACTAAAATCATTCGCCCAAGGATTGTATACCTATAAAAAATGCCCATCCCTTTTCTTACTTATGTCCCAAAACTCACAAATTACTATTTCTTTGTCCCATGGACTTTAGATGAACGATGAGTCTCTTTAGGGCTGATATTTGCTAAATAAGCAACATTGGTAGTTGCACATTTTCACATGTTCTTTATTTGTTAAAACTGCTAACCGGGCCTCTCTTTTATGGCTCCAAATAGTACACACAATAGGTTTTCTGTCCCAGTAAATCCCTTTCTGAATCAGCACTGTGAACTGTGTGTAGTCAACAAACAGTTTATAGGGATGTCTAAAATAATTGGATAAAGGACCATTAAACGCAAACTGATCAATTCATCTAAATGAAGTGGTCAATTAGTTTTGACCCTGCAATGTAAAACACTGCCATCTAGTAGATACAGTAATACTTACACTGCAGGGTTACATTTCTGACAAGCACTAGAGGTGTTTCTGCCGTATAAACCCAGTTATTGGAGGAGTGCAGTGGTGGCTCTTTTCTTAATGAGACAGTCACCAGAACAGCTACAGCTTATTTAATTTGTTCTGGTGAGTAGAATCGGTCCTTTCAGGCTTTTTGCTGTAAACACGGTCTTTTCAGAGAAAATACAGTGTTTACATTACATCCTAGTGATAACTTCACTGGCCACTCCCCAGATGGCTGTTAGAGATCCTTCCTGGGGTAGTGGTGCACAGTGTGACTGACATTCAGAGTCTCCACCCTCTGCATGGAGACACTGAACTTTACTAATAGAGATGCATAGATTCAATGTATCTCTATGAGGAAAAACTGATTGGCCAGGGCTGTAATACTAGTATTTATTCCAGGTTGTTGTTTTTTTTTTATTTAGGTTGCCTGAATCGAAATAAAAAGGAGAACACTGTAGTGTTCGCAATATAAACTTGTATTCCTAACATTATAGTGTGCTTTTTAACAAAAAAAAAAAATACTGTGTTCTAGAACAGGAGGGGTAAAAGGGTAGAACTACACCTCTTATAGCTTTGCCAACTTTTAGCTCGGCAAATCATTGAGGGAGCTGAAGTTTTAAATCAAATGAAGGACTATATGTTTACCAATTTAAAGGACCACTATAGTGCCAGGAAAACATACTCGTTTTCCTGGCACTATAGTGCCCTGAGGGTGCCCCCACCCTCAGGGTCCCCCTCCCGCCCGGCTCTGGAAGGGGAAAGGGGTAAAACTTACCTTTTTCCAGCGCTGGGCGGAGAGCTCTCCTCCTCCTCTCCGCCTCCGATCCTCCCCGCCGGCTGAATGCGCACGCGCGGCAAGAGCTGCGCGCGCATTCAGCCCGTCGCATAGGAAAGCATTTACAATGCTTTCCTATGGACGCTGCGTGCTCTCACTGTGAAAATCACAGTGAGAAGCACGCAAGCGCCTCTAGTGGCTGTCAATGAGACAGCCACTAGAGGATTAGGGGGAAGGCTTAACCCATTCATAATTATAGCAGTTTCTCTGAAACTGCTATAATTATGACAAAATGGGTTAACCCTAGAAGGACCTGGCACCCAGACCACTTCATTAAGCTGAAGTGGTCTGGGTGCCTAGAGTGGTCCTTTAAGAAGGTGATGTGTCAGAATTACAATGGGTGGATCACAGTAAATAAAAATCTATGGTTTCCAATATTTCACTTTTTCCATTAAGTCCTGCAATTTGTTGCAGTTTGATTAGGTAATTCGTATCAAATCCCTTTTTTCAACTGATGTGTATAAATGCATCGCACAATTCCACAGCAATAAAACTCCCACAAGATTATTTACTAATGTGAGAATTCAAAATGAATTTCTAGCGTAAAGCCAGGAGTAGTCTAATTGAAAGCATAGCCGACTTAAAGACTTTTTTTCTCATTTAAGCTATTTTGACCTTACATTAGAAATTCACTTTGAATTCTCGCTCTATTAAATAACCCGGATAGTGATATGGTCCAGAGTAGTAAACTCCCAGTTATATGCAGTATGTATCACGGAGCTCCAAAGCATTAAATCACACTATAATGTGCACCAAATATGGGCTAGTTCCTGATAATCACTAAAACAGGTCCTGTTATCAGCTATTACACAATTTTCCCATGTTGCAAAAACTTAACGTATAATAACAGGTAATCAGGGGCTGCTGAAAGCTTCAACATTTCCCATAGAGATTAATATGAGACATTAAACACCTGGTTTCCATGACAGATGGAAATATTACCAAATGTAGGTGTAAAGAGGAAAATAAATTACTCTGCTTTCTATACATTAAAATAAACAAATTTATTCTAAATTTAACTACAAATAGGCATGGTGTATGTAGATATCAATAAACACATGGAAATTTGGCGAGTCAGTTTTATGCAAACACAAACAGTAACTCACTCTGATGATTGCATGAAGTGCGCCTACCCTGAGCGCAACTTTGATGGTGTCCTGGTGCAGTTGTCATGGCAATCATGTCCAGTTTGCAGTGCAATGCAGATAGGTATTAGGTATTTTTTAGATGCAACAATCAACCTGCTGTTAGTATTAACCAACACTCCAACCACTACAACTCCTCACTGTTGTGGTCATGGTGCCATAAGGGCTGGGGCGGGCCTCCATTGTAAATTTGACTTTTTACCTGGGATTGCTGGGGACATCTCCCACTAATAATACCGGAGAGCTGGAAGATTCTAACAGGAACTTTCATTAACTCTCACCAGCTAAGTCCTGCAGTGCATGTCTCAGCTCATTGGCTGAGAGAGATCTGACAGCATTTTCAGCCAGTGTACTACAGGACTTAGCTCAGAAACGGTAATGGATATTCCATTAGTGAAACAAATTGTGCATATTCAAAGTAACTTAAAAAAAAAAGAAAAGATTCAGCAAATATTTGCTGAATATTTGATGGAAAAATGTCGGCGTCATTGTATTGGTCTCTCCTATCTCACTAACTACTAAAAAGGCAACATTTATAACAGTGATTGACTGGTAGCCAAGATGGAGACATGCAGTTCCAGGATAGATTTATACAATTAATTTTACTTTTCATTTCAGATCTTGCAAAAAAAAAAACACTTACTAAATATAGGGGATAAATAAAATGAATATTAAAATTAATGGGAAAAGACAGTTCCCCTCGTAATGGCTGAGAGAAGAAAAAAAAATAATAATAATTATATATATAGGATTGCTTCTCAGTCATGAAGTTACTTAAATGTTCAATAAATGTTGGCACCTGTGAGACAGCTACTAGAGGCTGGATTAACCCTCAGTGAAACATAGCAGTTTCTCTGAAACTGCTATGTTTTCAGCTGCAGGGTTAAAACTAGTGGGACCTGGCACCCAGACCACTTCATTGAGCTGAAGTGATCTGAGTGCCTATAGTGGTCCTTTAAGTGTATGTATCTGCATGCAGTGGCGTACATACTGGGGTTGCAGCCCCGGCCCACGCAGAGTAAGTGCGGGTGGGGGGGGGACGGATCAATTTTCACACCGGGGCCCCTTGGATCGTGTGTACACAACTGAATATATAATTCACCTCAAAGAGATCTCCTCACTGAACAGTGTATTATAACTGATCTGCAAGATCTATGCCCAGGGCTAGAGTCACCCTCCAAGTGTGGGTAGTGCAGTTGGATGAGTTATTCCGAGGTTTGTCGAGATGCTGTGCGGTGTATGTTTATGTGGTTTTTTGGGGGTTTTTTTTTTTAATTTTATGTATGGGAAAAAAAGTTGAAAAAAAATAAATAAATCATATCCAAAATTATGAAATCATTTTAAAAACGGATCCAAAAATATTAAATCAGGTTCTTAACAGTGAGTCGAATACCGAAAAGTTTATCCAAAAATATTCGAGTTGTCTGAACACTGCCAAACTTTGGCATTTAACTCAAATATAGCCTCAGTCTTCATTTTTACACAATAGTGTTTGTTTGAATTTAGAACTGAAGACGGAAATGAATTTAGAGACTGCCATCTACTGTCCCTTGATATTATCTGAAATACATCCTTTCAGTACATTTTATCTTACTGTGCCAATTTGCTAGGGAGCAGTATACATCTTAATGATTTACACTTAAAATATATCTTAATATGACATAATAGATTGATCTCTGAACTGCAAAAACATGTAAACAATTGAGAAAAATATTACATCTTTAAAGGGCATATTTGATAAATTTAGACAAAGATAATGGAAGGATAATATAAATTATTTTTTATTTATTGCTGGGTAGGTGCAAATTAAAGTATCTTTTGGCCCAGTGGCCAACCATCTTTAAAGGAAAATTGTAATAAATCTTTAGTTTTATAAAAGATTGTATTAACCTATGTGTACATTATTTAATTAATACATGTATGTCAATTCCATTCTCCTGCCTTACTCTTAAGTCCTTAAAGGGACTCTATAGTCACCAGAACAACTATAGGTTATTGTATTTGTTCTGGTGAGTATAGTCAGTCCATGCAGGATTTTTGCAGTAAACACTGTTTAGGGACACCTCCAATGGCCACTCCTCAGATGGCTGCTAGAGGTGCTTCCTGGGGCAGTGCTGCACAGTGTGACTGACATTCAGTGTCTCCACCCTCTGCATGGAGACACTGAACTTTCGTCATAGAGATGCATTGATTCAATGCATCTCTATGAAGAGATGCTGATTGGCCAGGCTGGTGTTTGGCTCCACCCCGGAAAGCATTGGATTGGCTGAGATCATCAAATCTGATGAGGTCAGCCAAAGTGGCAGGTCAGTGCGTGGGGGAGAGGGGAGAAGCTACCTAAATGGTGTTTAACATGTTTGTGTTCCTGTCCCTATAGTGTTTCATTTAAGCACAACTTTTTCAGCAAAAAACCTTGCAGGTTATTAAGAGTTAGTGTAAATTCATGAATCCTGATATCTGGGATAGTTTCAGAGCTACAAACTGTGTATGGTCTTAGCAGATAAGCAACACTTCTTACCGGAGAGGACAAAAGATGGCCGCATCTACAGAACAGCGGTAAATCAAGAGAAATAAAGGATTAACATATGTGTATTTATGTCAAAACAATACACAACAAAAGTGTATTATGTTGAATCCTTTATTCCCAGCAATAATAATAAAATAAAAAAACATGACCGTTTTCTGGAGGGGAAAAATAATGGCTGTCAAGAACCGTGGCCAGTGATGTACTTACTGATGGAGTTGGAGACGGCTTCATCTTTTCCAGACACTCTTTGAGATGTGCAATCTGTACCCTGTATTCATCCATTTGGATTTCCATCTTCTCTCTACGCAGCCGTTCATATTCCAGCTGTTCTTCCAGCTCTTTTAGCACTCTGCAGAATTTAGAAAACTTTATAATTGTGCCACGATGAGTACTGGTTCCAAATATTGTTTCTACTAAACAGGTTTCAGAAGTTTATTGTTAGGAAAACAACACAGGAGCTCACTGAAAGTTTCCAACCTTTTGCCAGTAGCATTGGGGGTAAAGGCCAAAAATGCAAATCAAGAGAAGTTTAAGTTTTTGTTAGCAATTAGGCTAGCAAAGTGTGTGAGCAGCCACTGTAAGAGTAATTAGCCAGGTAAGAGGGAAATGATTGTAAATTAGAATATATAGCCAAACCGAATGATAGCGGACTTGAAGCATTGTTCCAATTCGGCTATTTTGGTCTAAAGTTTCCAAGTTCCTACAATTCCCAGTTTATTGAATAACCATGTTCAGTTTTCTCCACTAAACTCAGAATTGTAATGAATTGAGATCCAGCAGAGCTATAGTCATAGCATGATTTTTACGAGCCTCAATTGCACCATTCGGCTATTCATTTGCTGCAATGTATATGCAATGAGCATAGTATATGCATGTTATATTTTAATGATAGGTGCTCTTTTACAAGATTCAGCTTTGGTCGCCAGAATTGCAGAACCTCAAAACTAAATGCATGATCTACTCGACCTAGGTTTAGCTACTTTACTTGGATGTTAGAGCTTCTGTTGATCAGATATTTTACTACGTTACTTCATAGGAAATAGGATAATTGGAAGGATAACCTGGATCCCAGGGCAAGGAGACATGATACATTACTTTTCCCACTCTTTCTTCTCTCTCTTCGTTTGGATCTCTTCTTCTAAGACCCCGCCAAGATGATTGTAATTGCTTTTTGCAATCTTCAGGCGATTTTCAGCTTTCTTCAACTTTTTGTAAGCTCTCACTGCAAAAGGAGAGATTCATATAACATTAAAAAAAAAAAATCACCTCTCTCGCAGGGTTATTTACTAAGTGAATTGCTAACTTTAGGACAAGATAGGCAGACTGGAAAAATGGTCTCTAAGTCACTTGTTTCTAGATCAACTTTTGGGTTTGGGTCTAAAATGTAAAAAATTAATTCTCAACAGTTTGGCTATTCATGGCAACAACTATTACACCATTTAAAATACTAAAATACAAGACTAAATTACTCCAGGGAACCTCTTGCATAGGGCTGTGTTAATGAACATGTGCTTTATGTTCTGCACATTAATGAATATTGCTCCATCGAGACCACAGCCCAAGGACGCTACTGGTTCATCAAGATAATGTCTTTACATTACAGATCCCATCTCACAGTGCACCGGTATCCGTCTTTGACCTTTGTGTATATTCCGGTATGCAGAACGGATTAATTTAATTAATTTAAGTACCAAATGTCTCAGCATGTTTATCTGGCATACCTAGATTTAAAATATGTTTTTTTTTATGAAGATAACGATTAAATGCTGGTAATGGTGGTTTGGAAAATAATTAATGAAAAGTAAAGTGCAGCTCCTCAATAATAGAAAGGGAATAAAAGATAAGTTGGCAAGAATTGTAGTATTCAACCAACCTACCTACCGCCATGTCTCTACAATGAAGTTACAGTAAAGAGGTACGAGCAAGCGCTACAGTGTCTGCTGAAGGCCCAAACCTTGGATCTAGATCATTTGGTCAATGAGTGCCAACATCTCCCCTAAAAACAAACCTAGGTTTTGGCCCTATATGCTTTTAAATATCTTGGTCTTGTCTTAAAATATGCCAATTTTTCTTAATTATTCCCATTAAAGAGTTGACATTGGTCGCATAATTTAAGATAAGAGGTATTTCATCATTTGTTTTAGATGTATTTTTCTCTTTATATTTTAAAAGTTGGGACCTGTCTAAGTTTTGAACATAGTCAATATCTTTTAATAGGACTTTTTCAGAATATCCTTTTTCTTCAAATTGTTCTTTTAAAACATTTGCTTGATCAGTAAAAGATGTTAACTTTGAGCAGTTCCTACGCATTCTTAAAAATTGACCTTTCGATATATTTTCTAACCAAGGATGATGGGGACAGCTATCCATTTGGATGTTCACGTCTACCTGTTCTGAAATAGACGGTATTCTTGTTTCCATTATATTGCCAGTTAGACTCTCTTCCTTTTCTCTTGTCTATATTAGATGAATAATGGGAATTTTTCTGGTGATCTCTATTTTGTCTATATTCTCCTTGTTTTCTCTCTTGGATGACTGTTGAATATCTACATCTTTGGGGTAAGGGATCTGGTTTAGTTCTTTTCCCAATATTCATCTAGTATAGACAAGAGAAAAGGAAGAGTCTAACTGTGAATATAATGGAAATAAAAGAATAGAACAAGAATACCGTCCATTTCAAATCCCTCTAAGAAATAGGTATGATCGTCTAAACAGTGATAGAGAGGAGGAAGTTTTTTTTAGGCCCAAGTGCTGTACAAGAAAACACCCAGGAAAAGGTTGAGGGTCAGACGAGGAACCAGAGCAGAGACATATATTCCTAGAGAAAAGGAAGAAATGACCCATAAAAAGACAAGTAATGAAATAAAAATATTTAACCTTTCAAAGAAACAATTGTCCTCAACCCAAATAAATGTTTTAAAAAAAGGTTTTAAGGGGGGCGTGGCCTGGACACGGAGTGAGCAGGACGTGTTTGCCTAGAGCTCCGCTCCGACTGCACCACAGAAAGCTAATATCAGCGTGCTAAATTCTCTAAGTGAATCACCAGGGAGCCCATAAGTATGGAGAAGAGGCCAGCCAAGAAACACCCGAAGAAGGGCCCGGAAACGGGTGCCTCCGTGGCGGAGTTCTTTGCAGCCACACGTGCTGGACCCGCGGGCCCGCAAGATGGCGTCGACACAGACACAGAAAATGCAAGCTCCCCAGCCAGAGCCGCGGTAGGAGGAACACCTCGAACGGCAGACACAGCACAAATCCTGAACACTTTGGCCAAGGTAAAAACCTACCTAGCAGGGGAGATCGAGCGCTCCACACGGGTCCTGCGCGGGGAAATACTATAGGCGATCGCACTACGCGGCTGGAATCCCGCTTGGAAGCTACGACGATGGCCCATAATACAGCGATACAGCAGGTGAACCAGTTAAATGCCAGAATGGCGGCAGCCGAGCTGGCCATAGAAGAAATGGCGAACAGGTCACGCCCCAATAACAATGCGCCTTAGGGGCCTACCAGAAAACTCGGGGGAAGGCCCGGTAGCAGATGCAGTGACAGCCATACTCAAACCTTTGCTGCCCGGCTTGCCGGATCACCTGTGGCACATAGAGAGGGCTCACAGGGCACTATGCACCAGGAGGCTGGACACAAACGGCCCGGGGGACATAATCATCAGATTCCTGCACTTCCAAACCAAAGAAGCGGAGGGGGAGAGACGGCCCAATCACATACCAGGGAGCCAACCTGACCTATACCAGGACTTAGCCCCGGCTACATTACAAAGGAGACGTGAGTGGAAGCCCATTACGGAGGCCCTGAGAAGGGTGAACGTGCGCTATGCATGGGGTTACCCCTTTAAATTGCTGGCCTTCCTCAAAGGCAAGACCCACATCTTGCAGCCCGGAGACGATGCCAACGCTCTGTTCGCGGACCTGGGGATCCAGGCTCCGACACAAGTTCCAGCAACGATGACCGGCACGGCTGACCTCCAACCCCTGCCGGGAGAGTGGCAGACCATCGGCGAATGAGGTACCGGGGGCACACTGAAGGGGAGCCGACTGGGCCAAGCTTGGCACGGGTTGGCCGCAGATACTGTGGCTAAGGGGGGGGGAAACCTGAAGATGGGGAGGGGGCGGGGGGGAACATACTCAACAGAGACCGGGGATGGGGGGGCTCTACACGTTAGACCCCACAGGCTCCCCCTCCCCCGTCCTGACACCCCAATCGGGGAAGCCCCCGAACACTACAGGGCGCAGGACTAATCTCCTTGACCTGACAGTATTAATCACTTAGCACAGCTAAGCGACCTAATCACGGTGTGGACACCCCCACGGTACAGGGACCCAATTTCTACTCTCCCCACATCCTCGGGAGAATGGATCCGGGAACCACACCCCACACCGGACTGGCGACTGGTAAGATCAGCCATATTTCTTTACTTCTTCTTTACTACTTCTCCTCCTCTCCCTACCTCCCTCACCCCCCTTTCCATATATGCCATGTTCAGTAAGTTGTAGAAGCCTTGAGAAGGTGACACCTGGGCACTCTGGCAGCAGCCCAAACAGACAGGGTGGAAGGCCCCTAGACACAGGTAAGCACGGTACTCAACCAAAGGGATGGCCTTGAACCTGACGTCCATAAACATTAAAGGATCGAATGCCCCCAAAAAGAGGCGCCTAATGTTTAGGGAAATTAAGAGGCTAGAAGCGGACATAGCCTTCCTACAAGAGACACACATATCCAAAAACACGGCATTCCATCTACGAGACCGCACATACTCCACCTCATACGAAGCTAGATCACACCGCAAGGGTAACGGGGTGGCCATACTCATAAATAAAAAATGTCCGATACAGATACTGTCCTCGGAAATGGACGCACATGGAAGATACATAGCCCTGACAGGAACCCTATACTCACACCCGGTCCACCTGATAAATATATATGCCCCCAACACATACAACACCACATTCTGGGAGAACCTAACCACCAAGATAAAGACCCAGAGCAGGTCAACAGAGGTCACAGGGCAAAGGGAGCCAAGATAAATTAATACACGACTTCATTCAAAACACCGACTTGGATGTGTGGCGGGCTCAACACCCTAGTGACTTAGACTTCACGTTCTACTCCACTCCTCACGGGACTTACTCCAGGATGGACTATTTCCTAGTGAATAATGTCAGCATGGCCAGGGCGGTAAACTCGAAGATTGGATCCATCACGTGGTCGGACCATGCAGACATATCCCTGACATTGGGGAACCTCTGCACAGCTTCACCGTGGAACTGGAGAATGAACTCTTACCTGCTACGAGAGAGGCACACAGGCAGAAATACGCGAAGACTTTAGGGCATACTTTCTTGCGAATGAAACGGAGGACATGACCCCAAGCATCATCTGGGCGGCCTATAAAGCAGTGATCAGGGGCTCATTCATCAAACTAGCAACCAGGAAAAAAGCACAAAAGATGAAGACACTAAAACAACTCCTGGACTCTCTGAGGAAGATCGAACAAAAACACAAGACGGACCAACTCCACAACTTCTTGAACAACTGAAAGGAACCAGAAGATCCATCTCGGAACTCCTATTGGACGATACAGCTAAAGCCATCTCGAGGACCAAAAGGACCTACTATGAAAAATCGAATAAGATGGATACACTGCTCACCAGAACCCTGCGTCCATGGCAGGATAGTACCCTTATCACCACGATCAAACACAAGGACGGCTCCATTAAGAATACCCCATCTGACATAGCCCAGGTCTTCACAGACTACTATAACAAGCTATACAACCACACACCCAGGAACCCTGCATCCCAAGAAGACGAAACGCATGCATACATTCCTGAAAGACCTAGACCTACCAAAACTCCCGACGGCTGCGGCAGCGCTTCTAAACGATCCTATCACTATCGAGGAAATAGACAAGGCAATCACGGTGCTTAAGGGCAGGGATGCCCCCTATCTCCGCTCCTGTTCGTGCTCACGCTAGAACCGCTCCTACAAGCTATGCGTAAACACCCCTGCATAAAGGGGATAGCGGTGAGAGGACAGGAGTTCCTAGTGTCCGCATATGCGGATGATGTACTGGTGACCCTTACGAAGCCCAAGGAATCCTTGGAAGCTCTGCAAGAAGTCCTTACACAATTCGGAGCATTCTCCGGATACAAAGCAAACCTAGAAAAATCCAGCGCCCTCCCGATGGGCCGGTCTGCGGAGGACACGGCGGCATTGGGGGACACTTACAACATCCCCATAGCAAAAGACCAACTAAAGTACTTAGGAGTACAATTGCCAGGCGACCCAACCAAAATTTACCAACTAAACTATGGCCCGCTCATACGAACCCTAATACAAGACATGGAAAAGTGTCAGGATAAACCAATATCCTGGATCGGGCGTATACACGCAGTTAAAATGAATATCCTGCCCCGTATACTATTCTTTATTTATTACTTAGCGGCGCAACTCGCGCAAGTAGCAATGTGGCATGCACCACTGGAAGTGAGGAGATGGGTAGACCTGGAGTCCCTACTGAAAGGAGCAGACCTCCCCCAATATCATATGTGGGTACCCAGGGAAGACAGGCCAATCTTAAGGACCGCATGCCCTGCCATACTAAACTCCCTGGCATCCTCCCCATCCCCACTGACACCCCTCCTGAGAAACAGGGCTTTCGTCCCGGGTATGGCAGCGAGAGATTTTACGAACCTAGAAAAAGCAGGACTGCAGAGGATCTGCCATATGTTCGAACACGGCCAGCTGGTCACCTTTGACCACCTAAAACAGCTGACACATCTCACCCCCACAGATTTCTTTAGGTATTTACAAATTAGGGACTACGTACAACACCCACATGTGCAACAGGCCGCCAGGGAGCCGCAAACTTTCTTTGAGAGGATGTGCCTCACTGAAAAGGCGCAGCAGGGCTTAATAACCAAGATGTACACACACATATGCTCAGAAACGGGGGAATGGGGTACCCTGGCCTATATCGACGCCTTGGAAAAAGATCTGGGAGAGGTACTGGAGAGGTACTGGAGGGGAATTTGGGAGGCAAACAGCTTGGTCTCCATATGCGTTTCCCTTTAAGAACAATCATTTAAAACAATGTTCAGGTGGTACACCACACCGGCCAAACTGCACCGCATGAAACAAACACCGACCGATAACTGTTGGAGGGGTTGCGGCCTTAGAGGCACATATATCCACATGTGGTGGGAATGCCCTCACGTGCAAATCTTCTGGACAAATATACACAACTTAATTAACAGAATTTTCCATAGAGCGCCCCACTTAGACCCTTAGACATATTTGCTTAACAGATCTTTAGATGACTGGACAAAGAGGGAACAGAAACTGATCCACAAGATTACACTAGCCGCGAGGAGAGCAGTAGCACAGACGTGGCTACAAGTAGAAATGCCACCCATACAGAGGGTAATCTCTAACATAAAAGAGGTGCACCTAATGGACAATTTGACTGCTCGGATAAGAGGATCCATGACCAGTTTCGACAAATTGTGGGGCCCATGGCAGAGTAGAGACCTCTCTGACGATACAACATACACCTAACCCACCTGAGGCTAGGGATGGTCCTGAAATGGGACCCCAGAAGAGACAGACACAAACCCAACACCACGCTGAACTGATGTATACCCATACCTTACCCCCCCCTTTTTTTCTCCCTTGCCACCTCTTGCCCCACTCCCCCCTCCCCCCTCATTTTCTTCTTCTTTCTAGATTTTCTCTCTCTTTCATTCACAATATTGCGGGGGAACCTGGGAACCGAACCTTGCTTCCTAGCAAATTAGTTAACCCCTGGCGGGTCCGGGGTCACACCACAAGGGACGAGAGACAGCGTTCCCTCCCAACCAAAACCACTACCTTAAAATATTGTACGCTACTTGACACCGAAGGATATATGTCAATCACCGTTAAAGTTAGATATAGTGCACGCTAACCACTGTAAGCAAATGTTATTGTTGAGACCAGAACCCGCCCTATTAAACCGGGACACAGAGTAACGGGGTTATACAAAGGATGAAAAATTCCACAAAGCTATACACCTATACACCCCTACTGTGTTTTACAAAAATGTTACATCTAGGACATGACGATCACATAATACCAATGTTTATTATTAAACGAAAAAACCCTTGACACGTAGCTGGAAAAGCTAACTTCCAATGTACAAGATGTAATACATAAGTTTGTTTTCTCATGTGTATGACAGTGTTTATCTGTGTTACGAATTATTGGGCTTTTGCACAAGCCATGTTGGGAATGTCACAGTGCTACTTTTGTCAAGCTGAGAAAAAAAAAAAAAAACACAGTACCCCCCCATGTACAGGTTTTAGGGTGTCTTGGAAAGTAACAAGGTTAAATGCAGTGCTCTGGACTTTTGGCCAGGGTTGTCAGGCAGTACCCCAAATGGCAATCAATAAAATTACTTAATTATGTAAAAAAGAAAAGAAAAAAAAAGGTTTTTAATTCACCCCCATTAATTCACCCCCAGTAATTCACCTGCCCTGTAAATAAATATGAGGCATATAGAGATATTAATCATTTTACCCGTATGTTATGTCTAAAGATATTCTTTGATAGAGAACATTACACGAGAGGAGACATTGTGTCCCCTAGTATTTTAACACAAGAATGTGACAATTTTAAAAACTCAGATCTAAAGAAAAAGTCCAGTTTTTATCCCTATTTTTTAAAATCCAACAGCATAAAAGTCTTTGAACAAGCCTGCCTAGATGAGATATATAAAATTAAACCCCTATCAAAATGGAACTACAATATCTCCATAAAAGAGAAAAAAAGCTATGGATATTCTGAAAAAAGATGATTCAATTGTTATAAAACCCACCGATAAGGGTGGAGGAGTGGTTATTCTTGACAAGGATCTATATATACAAGAAATTCATAATCAATTACAGGACATTAATACGTACCAAAAACTTAAAAAAGATCCAGTATGTGAGATAAAAGAGAAATATAAACTCTTTCTTAAGAGAGGAATCGATACTAAAATCTTAAACAAAGACGAATCCTCCTTCCTTTTTTTAGAACACCCAAGTATCCCAGTCATCTATACTTTACTAAAATTGCACAAAAACCCTACCCACTCCCCAGGGAGACCCATAGTATCGGGAATCGATTCCATTTTATCCACACTTTCACAATATATTGATGCACATCTCCAACCACTAGTCAAGACAGGCCCATCTTATTTACAGGACTCTGAGTCTTTTAAATATACTACAAGATTTTAAATGGGAAGAAGATTTTTATCTAATCACCTGCAATGTAACAAGCTTGTATACGATAATAGATCACGAAAAATATTGGTTGATTATATTGTGGAGGGGGTTAAACTGATTTTAAGCAATAACTATTTTTGGTTCAAGGGTGATTTTTATCGTCAAGTGAAAGGGAACGCTATGGGGACCAATTTCGCGCCAAGCTACGCTAACCTTTTTATGGCCTTTTGGGAAAAGCACTTTATATATAATAACCATGAATATGGTGTGAACTTGGTCCTCTGTAAGAGGTATATTGATGACATCTTTTTAATTTGGAGAGGACCAATAGAACTTTTTGAAAAAAAAATTTCTAATACATGGAGTATCAAGCTGACTAAAGAGAGCAGTAAAACAAATATAAATTTTTTTAGATTTAGAAATATATATTTTAAACAACGCACTAGAGACCAGAACATATTTTAAACAGGTAGACGTGAACAGCTACATTCAAATGGATAGCTGTCACCATCATCCTTTAGAAAAGGTTAGAAAATATACCGAAAGGTCAATCTTTAAGAATGCATAGGAACTGCTCAAAGTTAACATCTTTTACTGATCAAGCAAATGTTTTAAAAGAACAATTTGAAGAAAAAGGATATTCTGAAAAAGTCATATTAAAAGATATTGACTATGTTCAAAACTTACACAGGTCCCAACTTTTAAAAGATAAAGAGAAAAATACATCTAAAACAAATGATGAAATACCTCTTATTTTAAATTATGCGACCAATGTCAACTCTTTAATGGGAATAATTAAGAAAAATTGGTATATTTTAAGACAAGACCAAGATATTTTAAAGCACATAGGGCCAAAACCTAGGTTTGTTTTTAGGGGAGCAAAAGAATTTTAAGCAGATCTTAACAAAAAGCTATATTGATAAAGAGAAACCAAAGACTTTTTTAACAAATTGGGCAGAAATACAGAAAGGTTTTTACCATTGTGGTATGTGCAATGCATGTAAAAACTCTGATTGCACTAAAAAAAAACTAGAAAAAGTTTTGTATCAAACGTAACTGGAAAATCTTTTAAGATAAAATCCCCCATCACGTGCCAGTCAAAAGGAGTGATATATCTTTTAATATGCAAATGTGGATTACAATATATAGGAAAAACCACTAGGGCACTTAATATACGTATAAGTGAGCACATAAGAAACATTAAAAAGGGTTTTATTAAGCATAGTGTATCCAAACACTTCCTTGAAAATCACAACTCCGATTAAAAAAAACTGGAATTCCATGCTATAGAAAAAGTTACTACGCATTGGAGAGGAGGGGATTTTAACCAAAAATTAAGTTTACAAGAAACCAAATGGATCTTTGAAATGTACACTTTACCTCTTGAGGGCTCAACATTGATTTTGAAATGAACTGTATTTTATGATTTTTTTATGTATTTATATTTTTATGTATTTATTATTTACTTCAAAAGTTTTGGGCGAGGGATATAATACTTATTGAAATAGGTATCTGCTAATACATTGTCTTTTTAATGAAATTATTTTTACTATATTCTTTCTCGCTTTTATGGTTAAATTAACATATACTGCGGACTATCTGGCATCTAATTGGAGTTTAATTGGATCTGGACGATATACATATTGCCAGATATATATTACATAAAAGACTGCTGTTCTTTGAACTAATATTTATGGAGAGGTGGAGTTCGAAGAGAGAAGGAGCCAACTACTTAGGAAAAACGTGACAAAAATACGCCGACCGGAAGTAGGCGCATGGCTATTTTGGAAAACAAGTCGACCGGAAGTAGATGCACAGTCATTTTGGAACCCCGGAAGACACACACCGGAAGTAAAGTCACCACCATCTTGGAATCATACATATTAAAATGAACATGTGTTTTCTTTCTTCCACTCCTTCCCTTTTATTTTTATTTTTTTTCTCTCTTTATTTATATATGTAAAAACAGGAAGCACCACCATCTTAGTGGTGGTGAGATGCTTCCTGCAATGACCAAATATGGACATTCAATTACCATTTCCTGCTGCTGCACCTGTCTCCAATATGGTAAATTGGAGGCATATATAGGTGGGTTAGCAAATGGGAGGATATACTGCACTTGAAAAAGACCCTGGAGGGTCGAAACGCGTTGTGCTAGCTGCTGTGTCAGCCATTTCTGCTTTTATTATTTTATACCAAATAAATGTTTATTTTAACATTTCACCTGACCTGGTTCCTGAGTTCCTGCTAAGAAAAACTTATTACAAACATCTAAGAGGAGGATCAGATCCAGTGTATCCCTTGGTGGATGAAATCCCTTTAGAGTCCAGAGCCTAACTTATGTGGCTCTGGAAAGTGTGAGTGAACCTTTTTTATTCTCCACATATTGTAAATAGGTTTCAACAGCATACACCATGTTGTTTTCTTGTATATATTATATATAGGGTCCACAGTTACTGTCTGTTGCTGAAAATAGGACCTATACAAGATTTTAAAGGTAAAATATTCCACTGTTTGTGCGCTTTCACCTTTTTTTTTTTTCTGCTCACTAAAAATGAAAGAACACTTTGAGCAGCATACATATTTTCTTATCTGATATAGCCTTCATATATTGTATAAACATTTCATCTGTATTGCCTCTGGAATCATAAATACATAGTATAAAAAAGAAGGCGATGCATACAGCCATGTATATGAGAATGCATGTGAGTTATTCAAAGTTTTAATGTCAGATGCATTGCCAAAATTATAGTATGATTCTGTATGTCCCAACTGCCACTGTGTTTACACTGATTCCTATTTTGTTACTATTCTTGTATCCTGCTAAATTGTTGCCTTCCATTGACTGTCTGTAAAAGTATAAACCTTCTAATAAATAATACTTAAAGGAACACTATAGTCACCTAAACAACTTTAGCTTAATTTAGCAGTTTTAGTGTATATATCATGCTTCCTCAGGTTTCACTGCTCAATTCACTGCCTTTTAGGAGTTAAATCACGTTGTTTCTGTTTATGCAGCCCTAGCCACACCTTCCCTGGCTATGATTGACATGAAAAAAAAAAACTGGTTAAACTTTCAATCAGATGTAATTTACCTTTAACAAGTGTATCTATTTATCTGTAAATTAAACTTTAATCACATACAGGAGGCTCTTGCAGGGTCTAGCAAGCTATACACAGAGCAGGGGATAAGAAAATCTAAATTAAAACAGAACTTGCAATAAAGAAAGGATAAACTTTAGATGACTCTTTACAGGAAGTGTTTAGGAAGGCTGTGCAAGTCACATGCAGGGAGGTGTGACTAGAGTTAATAAACAAAGTGATTTAACTCCTAAATGGCAGAGAATTGAGCAGTGAGGCTGCAGGGGCATGTTCTATACACCAAAACCGCTTCATTAAGCTAAAGTTGTTTTGGTGAATATTTAAAGAAAAACAAAACAAACGTACTGCGTGCTTCCTTTTTCTCCGACTCGCTCAGGTTCAAGTCATCCATTCGATCAGTACTGCCCTCCACTCCATGTCTTTCAAAATAATTTGGATCATCGTCATTAAGTTCTTCATCAGAATCCATTTCAACGTTTCCTCCTAGGAGCTTTACAGCCGCCAGCTGGGCAAACCTGTCAGTAGAAAGCAAAGATCTCTTTATCAAAGCATCCAAAAATGGAATGAGCTGAGCTACAACTATACAAGGGCATTCTTATAATATTACTCCAGAGTATATTATACATCAGGAGACCATGACCTTCAGCCGTGTGCAAAGACATCCTAACAGCTTGACAAATTGTTTATGTTGAAAGCACACTGTTCTAGTGCAAGTTATTTTACGCTCTATTCATTCTCAGGTAAGCAGCTCCAATCATTGAAATATATGAGCATCAGTGAGCAGCCATCTTTTTTTTCTAGTCATACCCAAATGTTTCTGAACTACATTTCCTGTAAGGCTTGCTAAGCATCATGGGAAATGTGGTTCAGAAATATCTGATGTTCCAAGGTTAGTTAGCATTGCAGTAGTCTTTTAAAGATGCAAGACGTCACTTAACAACCGTAACTGAAGGCCATGATCTTGAATTCTAAGAGATCAAGAGATTTTTCACTCAATGTGATGAGAACCGGGGACACCTAATGGCCAGATTTTAGAACCAAAAACCAGGATGGAAATTATCCTACACAATGAAAATGCAGTAAGGATCCACTGGAGTCAGTCTCAACTTAGAATATATAATACATTAAACTATGGCTAAGGCTATCATATGCTGGATTGTAATCTCTTTCGAGCAGGGTCCTTATCAATCTATAATTCCTGTAACATTTTGTATTTGTCACGATTATTGTAAAAATTTTCCCCTTTATAGTTCGCAAGCTCAAAGTTGAAGGAACAGTGGATACATCACCTGGACAGGGCAGAAAGAGGAAGCTACCAATAGCTGCAACCAGATTTTTGAAAAGGCAGGTTGTGAAAGACCCTTGAGTTACTGCAAAAGACCTGCAGCAAGACTTGGTGGCAACTGGCACTGAGGTTTCAGAGAGTACTGTAAGGCGTGTGCCTTACTGTGAAGGTTTCCATGCCAGAACTCGAAGACGTACACCACTACTGGCCCAAAAGCACAAGAAATGTGGTCAAATAAATCATTCTATTCTGTGGAACGATGAAACAAAACTGGAACTTTTTGGGTCAATGGATTAGCGCTATATCTGGAGAAGGAATAATAAAGCATACGCTGAAAAGAACGCTCTGCCTACAGTTAAACATGGTGGTGGCTCGGTGATGCTCTGGCGCTGCTTTGCATCCTGTGGCACTGGAATCCTGCAGCGTGTGGAAGGCAAGATAGATTCATTAAAGTATCAGAAAATCCTAGGAGAAAATGTTATGCTGTCTGTGAGAAAGCTGAAGTTTGGGCATCATTGGACCTTCCTACAAGACAATGATTCCCAACCACATCTCAATATTCCACCAAGACTTGGCTGCAGAAGTATTCCTGGAAAATTCTACAGTGGCCATCACAGTCACCTGACTTGAACCTCATAGAAAATCTCTGGTGGCATTTGAGAAAGGCTGTTGCAGCATGCAAACCCAAAAATATTACTGAACTGGAGGCCACTGCTCATAAGCAAAACTTTCTCAGGAACGCTGCCAAAAGCTAGAGTCTTGCTATGCATCTCATTTGCATCTCATTTGCAACAAGTCATGACAGCAAAAGGGTGCTCTACTAAGTACTTAAGAAGCTTTCCATGAAGGAGCTAAACAATTTTGAGACTGGAGAAGTCATTATAAGTTGCATTTTCAGACGAATTTGGGGAAACCAGTTGAAGCATTAGTTGTGTTGAGCTATTTTAATTGCTTTTGTTTGTACATTTTAACAATAAGCCTGATTTTTAATGGGGGTTTAATCATTTTGATTACAACTGTATATGCATTGACATAAAGCAAGACAGACAAACAAAAAAACAATTTTTTTTTTAAAAATAACTCCACCTACATAATGTGAACTCAAGACAGAATTCAACAGATCCACAAAAAAAAATGTCTACAAGTAATCAAACAATGCAATCATATGTAAAAGTAATGAAAATTCAACAAAGAAAGTGGTTACATTGGGTGGCAATGACAGCTATGTGTTTTGAACGTAAACAAATTGTATTAACTAGCCAGAAGGACTTTTAGGACAGTGATGAACTGGAACTCCGAATTCTTCTTCTGAGCAGAAGAATTCACAGTTGATGTCAATGGAAGGACTTTAGTGGAAGCTCATGGATACCGTGGAAGTCCCTGTATGTTTTTAGTAAGACTTTTTCAGTTGGATTTTTTTTCAATTCTAAAACAAGTTGTACAGTTTTAACAAAGAATACAAATTTATTTAAATGTGGAAGAAGTTTTGCTTTCATAATTTGTTGTAAAACTTTTTTGGAGTTTAGAAATGTTGCTGACCTATAGACTGTAGAGGACCTGTTTATGAACAGACGCAAACAGAAGAAATATAATATGGAAATGTACAAAACAAGGTGGGGGAATAAATCTGATATATCAAATTGTTTAACAAGCTTAAACAGACAGAGTCATATATCTTTGATGATTGTTTGTATTATTATTATGTAACTTAGAGTTGTGATTTTGTATTTCTCCTTGATTTTTTAACCAGGTTACATAATAAATGAGAAGGGCTTTGGGTTGAGAAAGTGCATTTGAAAATGAGATCCAGATATTCATATTTGAGAGGAAACATTAATGAGACACTAAGGGATAAATTGACTTGTGGTTTAATAAAGATAATTACCTTCTTGCTATGTCCTTTGGGGTTTCACCAGCTTCATTAGTGATATTGTAGTCCGCTCCCATCTCCAGAAGCCATTGTAGACACTCGAGTTGACCTTGTCCTGCAGCTGTTTAAGATGTTGCATAATTATATCTGCTCCAAGTCTTTTTACATATTATCATACAGCAGGTGAACGAGGTGACAATACAGAATTCAGAAACTGGTGTGTTACAAATAAATATCATATAATTATTAATACACACACCATCCTGTCAAGACATATCATTGCAGACCAGTCATTACATACACAGACTGTCCTTCTGACCGTCTCTAAATCTGTATAGATCTAAAAACTAGATTAACCCATAAGGCTACACAAAGCAAAACTTACCCCATGAAGCCACATGTATCTTGCCCTTTGCGCCAGAACTGGCCTTAACCCAGCAGAGCAAACATTTTACTGTAAGGGCTCGATTCAGCCCCTCTCATCACACTGTACAGAATTTGTAAGTACAGAACTCTATTCTAGCAGTCGGAAACGGTAAAGACACTACATGGATTCTGTACAGGCAGAATGTAATCACTAAAAGGAGTTTCTACCTCGCACTCAAAATAAATAAATTGGAGGAAAAAAACTATACATATTTTATATGTTTATTTCTGTAAAGGAAGAAGGAAACGTGAGCTCCTAGCAAATCTGGGCATGGGAAAATATGGTGGGAGTAGCAATACACCAACAAATGAACTCTGACTGAAGCCAGGCTCTGTCTCTGTGTTATATAATCAACGGTTCTCGAAATCTGGCTCCATGCGGATTATACATCACAGAGTTTAAATATGTGCTTTTAATGGAATAAAATGCTTATGATGCCAGTGTGTGTAATTTACTACATAAAGCATGTTTATTAAAGGTAAATACAACAATCCACATAACATACATCAGATAGTAAATTCAGTGTAAACAATAATTCATTTTATTAAACATAAGCCAATGTAGCCAAAACAACAGTGCAGGAACCAGTGAAAAATGGGAGTAATTTATTCTTGGATTCTTCATATATAAAAAAATCTTCTATGGAGATGGTGTACATATCTGATACAGGATTGTGTTTTGGGAAGCTCAATGTAGAACTTGTTTGGGCGGGGGGGCACTCCTACATAATTTTGTAGTAAGCAGTGATACTGTGTTAGCACCAGATCCACTTGATGACGGATTTCTAAACAGACAATGTTCCCATTATTTAATTGATTAACTATAGACTGCTGCCATCAAACATTTTAAATAGGGGGGATAATGAGAATTTATTTTCAGTCTTCCGTCAGCAAATTCAGTTTTTAAATTCACCAAATGTTCAGCCTTTGCTCTTCCTTAGCCCAGACAAGCAAAAAAACGAACAACTGAACAGTGTTTGAAACTTACTTTTGTGCAACGGAGTGGCTCCTTTATCATCACGCTCATTAATATTAATTATTCCGCTCTCCACTAATTTTCGAAGGGTTACAAGATCACCAGTGAAGGCAGCTACGTGAGCAGGGAAGGCCAAATCTGTTGGAAGAAAAACATGTTTACCATTATATGCCTTTTTTGCCTGGCATCACATAGACAGTTCAATATTAAATGGGAAGAGCTGGAGAGGAGCCAGCTGATCGGTTTCAGTTCCCAAATAAACACTGAGAATATAAGGGTGTACTTCATATACATAATACCGTATTTATCGGCGTATAACACACACTTTTTCTCCCTGAAAATAGGGGGCAAATTATGGGTGCGTGTTATACGCCGGCCCTTTAAATGCTGCAGCCGCCTGAGCGCTCAGTCAAGAGCGGTCAGGCGGCTGCAGTTGGTTCTCACCTCCCCTCCCCTGTAGCGTGGCCGAGCTGCTCTGCTGTCCGCGGTGGCCGGCCGGAGTGATAGGAAGGTGCACGCTCAGTGTGCACCTTCCTGTCAGTCCGACCGGGTACAGGAAACAGAAACTCCTGTTCCGCGCGGGAGTAAGAAGGGGGTAAGAGGGGGAGGGGGAAGTAAGAAAGGGGGGTAAGAAGAGGGGGAGGGGGAGTAAGAGGGGAGTAAGAAAGGGGGGTAAGAGAGGGAGGGAGTAAGAAGGGGGTAAGAAGTTCTTTATTTGAAATGTAAGTTTTTTTTTCCTGAAATTTCCTTCTTAAAATGAGGTGCGTGTTATACGCCGATAAATACGGTATATGTTAAATTTATTTTATATTAGAATTCATGCTGTGCTTCATTCAAACATAAAAAATATATATCTTATTTAGGTGTTAAGTGCGGTTTAAGGATGATAAATAATGCCCATAACCACTTTGATATACATGTTTTAACACGATGCTACTATATATATATATTTATATATTTTTTTAATTATTATTTTTACTTTGTATAATTAGCAAGAAGTGGCATATTAAAGCTCTGCTTTGAGTTTTATGGTTAATTTGCTGTGATTTTCAAAGCTGCATTCATTCTAAATTAGCTGTATATTTATGTTAATATTGTGGTGGAAGAAACCTCGATACCTTGAACTGCAGAACATTTTGCATTTTTGATGTACTCACTCTTCTGATCCTCTGGGTGGTCAATTTCATATTCCACACCATTAATATACTGGACAATATTCTCTTTATAGAACCTCTGGGCTAGGTCTTTTGGAGTTTTTCTCTCATTGTTGATGTCTTCCAAAGCTCGACTGACACTGGTAACTTTGCTGAGAACAAACTTCAAACAGTGCAGGTGGCCTTCCATTGCAGCCAAGTGAGCTATGGGTTGACATGAAAAGTAAAAATAAATAAATCACAAAAGTACAAATTTTTAATTTTAAAGGGAAACTGTAACTTCTATTAAAGGGAAACTGTAGGCACTGTAACTGCTTCATGTCAAAGAAGTGGTTATAGTGTCTGGAATCCATAGGAGCCATCATTCCAATCAGATGTAAGCTGTTTTTAATATTGTAATGCTAAACTAGAGTCCCCAGCAACTCATCCCATCTGTGCTTCTTGTGCTAAAGAGGATGCATTAACCTGAGCAGCAATGAATTGCAGTCATTGGATGAGAGTGTCACCTGACTACCTTTAAAGGTAAGAACTGGTATGGCTAGAAGTGTGTGGGAACCAGGCTGTGGGTGGCTAGTGGACTCTGGGCACTATATACAATTCAATGACATTAAAGTGTCAATTAAAAAAAAAAAATGAAAATCAACTATAATTTGAGCAAACCAATTTTCACATGATGCCTCATTCTCTTTGAAATGTAAGTTAAAAATCTAGCAATTGACATCACAATCCGGTTCACACCAGGCACATGTTGCATTGGAGTTGGAGCAGCAAACAGATTGTTTTTATTTTCCCCCTCCACTCGTTCAATGACAGAGAAGAGCAGCAGTTACAAACAATGACTGTCAAGGAGTCAAGAAAATCCCACGCTGTTCCAAGAAGATACATAGCCTTTTCCCTTTAAAGGGACATAGACTCCATTTATTGTGGCATTTATGTTTTTGGATGCAGTCGCTCTAAATTTTTTGTACAATTGTTTGAGCTTTTTTAAAAAAAACAAAAAAAAACTGGTGGAGCTTTTTTTGTGTTACAATTAATGAATAATATTTTCCTTCGATATTTTTAATAAATAAATAACCTTTTTAGGTCTGAGATGTTATCTGGATATAGTTATTGGAATTCATCAGCAATATATGATATTCTTGTTTTCATACCAGGTGTGTTTCCACTGTAATCTGCATCTTCTACAGTCCCTCCCCATCTGACGAGAAGCTGCAGACATCCAAGCCTCCCATGGAATGCTGCGTAGTGAACCGGAAGCCAGCCATTTTTGTCGGTGCTATTGGCATCCTGTTCGATAAAAAGCATTATGGAACTTTACAGTGATCCGACCAAAACTATAATGCTCTGTGAATCCAGAAATAGCTCTCATTTATTAATTTATCCGTTCTTAAATAGCACTTTTATCCAGAGCGCTTTACAATTTATACAAACATAGCAAATCGGTACACCGTACACAGTGAGTCTAATGAAGGTAAAATCTAGATGCAATTTGTAATCACTATGCATTGCACATTGAATGTAGGGGGGAAAAAAAGACAAGGAATGAATAGTGAGTACTGTATAGAATAGAGACAAAGGGGTTGATACGAATCAAGAATTCAGGAGGGATCCTCGATAATAGACCCTACAATAGACCCTACAATGGGACAATAGCAAAATAGTTTTTTTTGTAGTGAGATTGATCCAGTTGGGGTATATGCCAAGAATCAATTTGCATTTGTATGGGAGAGTTGCATCTGGAGGACAGAAGAAGTCTAAGTAATGGCTGCACTAATTGGGATCAAGGAATAATGGCAGGGCGATGTAGTCGGATATATTGAGCTGTGAGGGACAAGTTTGGGACTGGGTTACAAAGTGACTGGGAAGTGAAGAGGTGTGCCGTTAGAACTTTGTGGAAAGAATAAAGAAGATTGGAAGATAATGGTTTCCCTGTTCCAAACCCCACACCCATTTTCCTTTCAGATGATCACCCATTAGTTTATATTACTTAAACAATATTAAATTATTCACTCTAAGGATTGTGACCTCTGCCTATCTATCAATATTTATTTTCTAACTCTGTCTTATTATGTTTTATAATGAACGAAAAACAAAAATGCCTGCAGTCCCCTATAACTATGGTTAAAAGGAGATTCAGTAGTAACAAAATCTACAATAGTAATAGTGTATATAGATGTATAACAGTAACAGGATATATGCTCTCACCACCCCACTTCGAAGTATAGTTTGCAGAGTGAATGAATGTCCGTGGGCTGCAGCCAGGTGAGCCGGAGTGCACAGACGATCGTCTCTAGCTGCCAGGTTAGCTCCACTAAGGACCAATGCCTGCCAAAAGATGTAAAGCAGTGTCAATACGACAATGATGTATCATGCACCCCAACATATTGATGGACAAATAGATATAACCCACCAGATCTAGGTCCCCAAGCAAGTTATCCAATAAATTCCGAAGCTCGATTTAGTGTCCTAAAGTGGGGTTTTTTCACTGTCCGTTAATGAGGATAAACAAAGATATTGTCATTTTGTTATTGAATACTGTGTGATCTGTGCTTATGGACATGAAAATTAAACTTAAAAATTACTTTCCAGAACACAAAAATGGATCCTGGTGGACATTTCATTACTAAAACCTTGGTAGTAAAAACGTGTGTTCCATTTTAGATGCCAATTAATATTTATTTTAGAAACTCTAGAAATTGTAAATGTTCTTCCCTAAGCTCGTTGGAGCAGGGTCCACTACAAAATATCGTTCCTGTAAGTTTTCTTGTAATTGTTCTATTTATAGTGAAATTCCCCTCTTAGAATATTGTAAAGCGCTATGTAATGTCAACAATAATAATAATAATAATAATGGTCTAGGAGTCTATCTAGTCTAATCACTAGAACTAAGGCTTGCATTCTCCGTTCACAAAAAGTTTTAACGGAATTTACTTACAAAAGGCTGAACAGTTAGTGGCAAGCTAATTAAGGAGTTGATAATGTTAAAACAATAAGTCTGTTCAGCACATTAACCCAAGGTGAAATAAGCGCGTACCCCCGCCCTTTGCAACAACAGAAAATTATCAACTCTGGTATTTACAAAATTAGCGAGCTATAAATTACATAAAAAAAGAAAACACCAATCGCGCCTATATATTTATATATATATAGGCGCGATTATATATTTATTTATTTTTTCATTTTAATTCTGGCTATACTCCAGGCTGGATTTGCCAATAGGCAGAGTACACAGCTGAGTATAGGTGCCCACCTCAATGCCAAAAGGCACTGACCTTTGACCAGAAAAAAGTGATTTAATTTTTGTCTCCATATTTTTAATTCTGCCTCTGATCACTCCGTAGCTGGAGCGCCAGTCCCAAGAGATATTTATAATTTTGTAGAAAAGGGAAAAAGTAAGACAGTGGCAGGGCACAGCAATGACTGTAATGGATCACCTGGCACCCCAACTGGAGGTGCTCCTAGCACTTCCTGAGGATTCCAAGCACTCTAGCCGACACCACAACCACCGCAGGCCAAACCTCTCTTCCTTCAGAGCAAAGCAGGAACGAGCGACTGGGCTGGCGAGGAACGGCCGACTTCCCCGTTCTCGAATGTGTGTTGTGCGGCTACCTTCGCTCCAAGCCACCTCTCCCCCCTCAGACCGGTGGGGTTTATACCGGTCCCTGCTGGAAGAACCTAAGCAGCTCCTAGGCCATAGCAGACAACTCCTGCAACTACCTATGCTACCCAAGATGGCGGAGAGGACTTCTCCAACAGCACAGAGCTAGACACAAACCTGTGCTGAGGAAAACAGCCTCGCTGGGTGCCCCCTGCTGAGATTGGAAGCAATCTTCCAGGACTTTTGGGTCCGGCTGGAAAATTGTTTGGTGACAAATTCGCTGCTGCCTCAAAAGCATGTATGGGGACAGAATCCATTACCCAGCATACCACCTCAGTATGACACACGCCGGCAGAATCCTGCTCCCTTCCAAGAGCACACACCAAAGCAGGCCTCCAGCCACAGCGGCAGCAAGCCACGAGCCATCATCCATGGCGGCGAGAGTCCGCGCTCCCCCTACTGATCCAGCAGAGATTCTCACTCTATCCACCGCAGCAGCAGGGAAACATTAGGCACCTGTGGACACTAGAGATCTGAAGAGCTTGCTCTAGCCCCCCTACAGTCCATAATGAATGCTGCGGCCAGGTTAATCTTCCTGTCTTCCTGCACCCACACTGACTCTACATAAGATATAGGGCTTTCAAATTTTAGACCTCACTTTCAAATCTCTGCATAACTACTCCTATCTAGCTATCCTCACTAATACACAAGAGGTGTCCAATCCAGGCACCTATGCATTGCCAAAGACATGAGTCTATCCTTTGTTCACACTCGCACCTCTGACACCCACCTTCAAGACTTCTCTAAGGTTGCACCATTCCTATGTACGTTAAATTTTCCCTGCTCCATTAGACTCACCCAAACTCTATTCATTTATAAAATAAATGTCACTGAAATCTCACTTCTTTAAAAAGGAGTAACAATAAAACTGATTTCCTTCCCCTCACCTCACTAACCTACCTTCTCTCCTGTAACTGTGTCATTTAAAAAAACAAGCCTTCATTGTAAACTCCTCTAGCAACCTACTTTTGCAGTACATGAAAAAAAAAAACCTTACCCTTACCTCGTGTCATAAAAAAAATAAAAAAATAAAGAAAACAGGTTTCATTTCATTTCATTTAACTTGTTTTCATTTCCACAGAAAGAAATGTGCTGTTTTACATCCTGTCATACTGCTGTATACTTGTCTTTCTAGCCTATCCATGTTGTTGTGGCAATATCTGTCATACTCGCACACCAAAATAAAGAATGGAAAAAAAATTAAAACCAAAACAAGCCTTCATTGTAAACTCCTCTAGCAACCTACTTTTCTTACCATTACCTCTCATTTTACCCCACTCCCCTTAGATCAGTGGTAGTCAACCTTTTTCTTCCTACCGCCCACTAATGCATCGTTCTTGATGGAAAAATTTCCTTACTGCCCACCAGTTTTCGCGGAAAATGTTTTAGAAAGGAGGGTGTTTTTAAAAAATGTACGTACATTTATCTTTTTATTTCTACTTAATGCATGTTTATAATGTTTTTAACTTTATAAAGTTTAATGAGAAAACTATAAAGTAAATTGAAATTACTTTTACTAGTGATTAATGAGATCCTTGAGGTTGATGCTGCGAGACTAAATGTTTGATATCTGGTTCGATTTTTGTAAGGAACAAACAAAGGTCTCCTCTTTCGGTGATATTCAGACGACTTCTCTGTTTGCGCATAATATGATTTCTCATCTGTGCGTTAGCTCCCCTCCTCTCCCTCATCAATTCCCCTCCCCACTTTTTTTTCCCTTTTTTCTATTGTTTAACCTTCCTTATAGCAATGCCTAGTAGGAAGGCTGAGCTAGGTAGCCCACTATAACAGACAGGCACACATACATACAGAAACACACACAAGACACACATACACAAGACACACATACAAAGACAGATACATACAAACAGACAGGCACACATACATACAGACACACATACATACAAACAGACAGGCACACACACATAAGACATACATAGACACATACAGACAGACACATACATAAGACACACATACAAAGACATACACACACACAACACATACATACAAAGAGAAGACACACATATATACACACATATATATACAGACAGACACACACACACTCACAAGACATACATACATAGACACAAACACACAAAATATTTTAGTCACCCTCCTGTTTTCTACCTTTTAGGTGCAGGAGGGTGGCTTTCCCTGGGGTCCAGTGGTGTCTCAGGTGGATGGGAGTCAGAGTTCCTACTCTGACTCCCTGGTCTTCCTCCCGCGTGGTCTGTGTGATGTAATAACAGGGGGCCGGTCACGCTGTTAAAGTGCCCAGCGCTGACCGGGCCCCTATACAATCCACATCCATCAGGTGTCCCTGACAGCATGGGCCACCTGATGGACCCCTTGGACGGCGGCCCCGGCAGTTTGCCGCGCGGGCGGGGCCGCAAATAGTGACGGCGGTACCCGGTCGCAGGGGTACCGCCGGCTCGCACCCGCCCTCCTGATCTCTGAAATTGAGGAAATCCCTACCGCCCACCTGGAATCCTGAAACGCCCACTAGTGGGCGGTAGGGACCAGGTTGAAGACCCATGCCTTAGATTGTAAACTCGTTTGAGATAGGCAACAACTTGTCTGTTAGTCCACCTATTGAACGGCGCTGCGGAATGCGTTGTCACTTTATAAATAATTATTCTTATCCAACTTTAAAGCAGCTGAACAACATATGAGATTAGATTGGATGGATGGATATACCTAGAGTACTGAGCACTGTACAATATGTACTTTACACTTCTGAACACATAAACTTTTTTTTTTGGTAACTTAAAAATATTCATAAAGACTTCATGTATATTTTTTATCAAACAGTAAATATTAGCATGTGCTGTTATTATTTTATCAGATATCTAGAGCATGAAGTTTCAAACCAGCGTATTCCAAATGATATAGTATTTTTTAGGGATTGCCCGATCTTATTCCAATGGTAAAACGACAAAATGTGAATCAGTGAAGGACCTTGAACACTGCTTTGATAAAAACAACTTGTCTTGAGCATGGATGTGTTAACCAGGAAGCTTTTGATTATGTGTCTTTTGCTGCTCAGGAGACAGTACAGGTGGCTAAGACTCATGGGAAATATGGCCCATGGATGATGCAGTGCCGGGATCTTGTGTTAGAATATTGGTTTGTCATACCTGCATGCAAGCATCTTGACCCTTAATGGCTGCCAGGTGTGCTGCTGTCCAGCTTCTAGTTGTGACACTGGTGATGTCTGCTCCATGCCATAGCAACCAATGTAGACACTGTAGAAAAATAAGCAATGCACTATTAATTCACAGTCATGCAGAAGAACGCTATGTACGCAAGCAATGTCAATTACGGCAAAGCTACTACTTGAATGTGAAATCGGTGTGTGCAGGCAATCATGTGTGAACACTGTCAGCAGGTGTTGGCAGCCATCTTTATCCGTCAATATCAAAGAGCGTTGCTTAACAAAAGAAAGGAGTTTAGAGAATCTGCAGGCATTACAGGCAATCTAGAGCAAAAGTCTAAAATGAAGTAGATACAATAGAAACAAATGAACTATTTTAGTTAATATCTCAACATTTATAACATTAACCCAAAATTGTTCTTCATACAAAATCCTTGTAAGGAAAAGTGTATAAAATGGTGACCTGAAAAAATTTGTCGCTAAAAGAAACAAAAGGAGGATTAGCCCGTGGTTTCCATGGTAACTGGCATACTATGAGAACTTTGTTCCAAAATTGATGTTTATAATTCCGCATATGGAATATAATAAATCTAATATTGCTAGCAGTAGATAAAGTCTAGCATAAATACAATTCACTTCATTGGTGCCCGAAGAAAAGCAACATTTTGAGGCACCAATAAAGTTGGCATTAACTTTAAATGGATACTCCGCTTTCTAAATACAAAATAATTATTTTTAAAAATCACTATTTAGTAAATAAACCCCCAATGAAAACATTTAATCATGCTGTTCTTTTTTTTTTTGTTTTTTTTTATTGGGAGTATATTTAAAAATAGATGTGCATCTCTTGTCTGCATCCTTTGCAAGCCCTCCCAGTCTAACCCCGCCCAGACCTTCTGTGGCTGTCCAATCACAGACTAACCAATGCAGCTCAATGAGAAGTCTTTGCAAGGCAGGTGCTCTGGGCAATTGCTGCATGTTGAGTTTAGCGACACTGAGATAAACAACCAGGAAGTAACAGGACCAGTCGTCTGATTGACATCCAGTGGGGTGTAACAAGATTAATTAATTTCCATTACAATCTGTACTTTTTGTACAGGGGGGGGGGGAGGGGAAAAGAGGACACACTCTTCACACATAAAGGCACTTCAGCAGGTTAACGTGCTTTAGGTGTTTGGAATATTTCTTTAAGGAGGAGTGCTGGATATCAGTTCTTACTTATGTGCATATGCCGGTTTAGTGGTACTGCAATTACTGCGCTTTCCTAACAAATTCCTATTTCTATCCAAGTGAACGTCAATTTGAAATTGTGTCTCTAAATGAAATAGCCTTGGAACAGAGAAAATCAATGAGGCTCTCCTGATAGTGCAGGCAAAACTAAGCACATCAGAAAACAAAATAAAAACTCCTATCACATCTAGTTGGGTATAAACATAAACATCATCATTTCGGCACCTGAAGACCTTACTGATAAATTAGGTAACACGGGCTGCCAGATAGTGGATTTCTGTGGTTCATTACCTCCAAGCTACCAGAGTGTGCAGCCCAATGCAATGGTGTGAATCTGTGAACCTGATCCACCTCATTAATATTCACACCATTCTTCACAATTGTGGCAAGTTGTTCCACATCTCCAAACCTCACCGCCTCGTGGACGTTGCTGTAACTTCTCTTTTTGTTCTGGACCTCTGTTTAAAAAAGAAATACAGTTTATATTTTTTTGACTCATGCACAATACATACGTACACACACACAGGGATGTATTTACCACAACGCAAACAAGGCATTTGCCTAGGGAGACACTTTCAGGGGGGGGCACCAAAAAATGCCACCATAAGCTCGAAGACAAATGTCTTGTTTGCCTCGTGTTCTGGGGCCGTCCACCTTACTGTGAGTGATTGAGTGTAGCGGTCAGTGTGTGTCTGTGAGTGAGTGAAAGTGTGTGTGTCTCTTTCAGTGAGAATGGGTGTGTCAGTGTGTGTGTGTGCCAATAACTGTATCTGTCAGTGAGTGTGTATCAGTGCATGTACCAATGAGGGCATGTGTCTGTCAGTCAAAAAAGTGGCCTTGACACGAATTGGGGGTGCAAATTTAGATTTTGGGGGTGCCCGAATTTAGTCGTGCCTAGGGCAGCACAAATCCAAAATACACTACTGCACACACACACGCACATTTTATAGAATATAAAATTAACCAATTAAATTGATTCAATGGATTTAAATCAGCATCCGAAATTATTCTAATCTGTTGTAAAAAATATATATTTTCAATTTGTTATGTACAAAAATTCCCATAGATGTTAATGGTTACTTTTGTAGATAAGTAATTTTAAAAAGTTGAAATTGTTAGGGCCTATGTATGATAATGTCTCTATACCAAACTAGCAGAAAGGACAGTATTTAAATATAGAATTAATTTCATAAATGCAAATAAGATTTTGGGCATTACAAAAATTAAAGTATTAAAAGACGCAAAGCCTGGTTATGTTGGCTGTGCTTGGAGGCATACCTTGATAATACATTTCTGTCTATGATTTTATTAAATTAAAACTATATATATGTATTAATTTCATTTTCTTTATATGTGAGTCCGAAAACCTGATCCAGCCCAGGTATATCAGAGGGTCACAGTCTCTAAATATAAATCTGTAAATAACATTTTCGGCATTACTAAAATGAAAGCATAAAAATAGTGAGGCAACGCATACTTATGTTGGCGGTGCTTGGAGCTATACCGTGTTCATACATTGCAGTCTATGATTTTATTAAATTAAATGGAATAAATTAAATTTAGATTTAATTTTCTTAGTATGTGAGTCCTAAAACTTGATTTGGACCATGTATATCAGAGGGTCAAAGGTCACATATAAATAAAAATTCACATGGTCGATAATCTGCACCCCAATAATGTGCCCCCTCCAGTTTGATAGTCTGGTACAGGCTGCTGTGTACTACTACTCCCATGGTGCTCAGGCAAGCAGCCTGTGTGATTTCTCCCTAATAAAAGGTTTAACTGGGGCTGCACCCCAATAATGTGCCCCCTACAGTCTGATAGTCTGGTACAGGCTGCTGAGTACTACTACTCCCATGGTGCTCAGGCAGGCAGTCTGTGTGATTTCTCCCTAATAAAAGGTTTAACTGGGGGGCCCCTGGTTGCACCCCAATAATGTGCCCCCTCCAGTCTGGTACAGGCTGCTGTGTACTACTACTCCCATGGTGCTCAGACAGGCAGGCAGTCTGTGTGATTTCTCCCTAATAAAAGGTTTAACTGGGGGGGCCCTGGCTGCACCCCAATAATGTGCCCCCTCCAGTCTGATAGTCTGGTACAGGCTGCTGAGTACTACTACTCCCATGGTGCTCAGGCAGGCAGTCTGTGTGATTTCTCCCTAATAAAAGGTTTAATTGGGGGAGGAGGCCTTGCTGGGTTTTACCGGTCTGAGATGGGGCCCCAGAGGCGGCAGGCATGATGTTGTTCCTCAGGAGTTACAGATATTTGGAGCCCTGCAGTTTCCATGGAAACGCTGTACACAGGCTGCACCTCTTCCGCATTACAGTCAAATGATCCGTCATGTGATCAGCCGGATCCGCCATCTTTAAAACTGGCAAATGCCCGGTTTGCTGCTGAGTATGAAATGTCCAACCTTTTTATTGGTCTGTAGGGGATTTTACTTTTATTACTGTGAAGGAATCAATACCAGATCCACAATCTGAAATATCTGACTTTGAGGGAATTTCACTGTTTATTAATAATGTGTTTGCATAATTAATTATAAAAAAACAGAGCAAATGCTTCATTCTTGTAATTGAATAAGAGGCAATCCAATAGCTTTGTTAAAATGCTCTCCAAACGAAACAGCAAAACAATTTTAAAAAATAGTAGGATTCGCTTTAAATTATATTCCAAGCTCTTATACAGTTATTTACTAAAGTGAGGATTCAGAGTGGATTTCACATTTAAGGCCATTGTGATTTAACTGAGAGCATAGATAATTTAGAGAATTTTCCAGATCGGCTACTTTGTCCTTAAATTTAAAATTCACTTTGAAGTAATTTAGAATTTTCAAATGATCAATTTAGCAAATAATCCTGTTAGTGTGAAATATAACCTGTGTACACAGAAAAAAAAAAATCTTTATTTTTGGCACGCTTTACTGTGCGATTCCACCATTCGTTGGTCCACCCGCAAGTCCAATGACTGAAAAAGAAAGACATTAGTGGACAAATATTGCTTCAGCAGGACATATTAACCTTCACTGGAGGCAAATCAGGCTCAGGGAAAATTCAAAGTAAAACGTTAACTTTAAGGCAAAGTAACCAATCTGGATATACTCTCTAAGTCAGCTATGCTTATAGTTTGGCTACTCTGGCCTTAAAGGGACATTATAGGCACCCAGACCCCTTCATCTCATTAAAGTGGTCTGTGTGCAGTGTCCCCCCCTCCCCTGAGCCCTGATATGTAAAACATTGCCGTTTTAAAGAAACTGCTATTTTCTAGACATGTGCAATTCGTTTCAATCCGAATTTAAATTCTGACGAATTTCGGCTAAGTTCCGAACCTAACTGAATTGCCGAATTTAGGAAGTGCCGAAGTGCTTCGGATTTCTGAAAAGTGGCAAAGAGGGAGAGGGAGGTAAAATTAAGGGAATGATGACCGGAATCTAATCCTAACCTAACCCTAACCTAACCCTAACCCCAACCCCAACCTTCCTATAACCCTAGTAGTTACCAGCTACCTAGTAGGGTAAGGGGTCAGGTTAGAGTTATGGGTTAGGGTAAGGGTTAGAGAATTGTTGAAGTCTTGAAGTGCCAAACTGAAGGTCTCAAAAAGTTTTGCTCACTTGTGCCATTACAGACAGAACCAGATCCAAAGTAAATCAGACTGATCCCACCCATAAGGGCAGTCCAGAACCGAAATGTCAGCAAGCTCTCTTTGCATGAGAGATACAGCAACCCCGGAGAATCGTTTCAGCCTTCCTTGGGCGTCATCAGCAAAGTGTAGTAAATACCCCTCTATGCACAGTGAGCAAGAGGTCCACGTCTGGATAACCCTTTGAACTTGGGGAGAGCCTAGTTAGTGCAACAAAAGCAAAGAATATGAGAATTCTGGTAACAAACAAATGCTTAGAGGAACTCAGTAGTTTGTCCTTCGGTAAATCTTAACTCAGGTCTCAAAGTTTTTGCTTACTCTTGCCATTACAGAGAGAGCCAGATCCAAGGCATATCAGACTCATCCCACCCATGAGGGCAGTCCAGAACGGAAATGTCAGCATAAAAAATACAGCAACCCCGGACGATTGTTTCAGCCTTCTTCTACTGCCTCATCAGCGAGGTGTAGCTGATACTCCTCTAGGCACAGTGAGCAAGGAGTCTATGTCTGAATTCTTCTGATATGGAAGATTTTATCTCTCAATCAACTCTTCTTAAGCGGCGATTTAGTGAGAGGTTATTCTAAACCAGTTTTAAACAAGGCATTTCAGTGTGCCTTTGCAATGGATAGGTCCACCCGTTGAGAGGATAATGAACTAGAACCCAAAAAAAAAAAAAAAATGCTAAAAACCCTTTATAATGGATTATAACTTACAATACAGAGAGATATGCAAAATTGTTTGAAAATAACAATCAGTCTTTTTTAACCCCACAAGTCTATTGGTTTAATCTGCTTGTAGCACAGCTTGATGGAATATGCTTTAAAAGAGCACTATAGTGCCAGGAAAACAAACTCGTTTACCTGGCACTACAGGGTTATTAGGTTCCCCCCGCCTCGTGGCCCGCATTCAAACCGCCCATTGAGTAATACTTTCCTATGGACGTCAGCGTCATCTCAGTGTAATTTTCACACTGAAAATCGCGGAAGCGACCTCTAGAGGCTGGATTAACACTCAATGAAAATATAGAAGTTTCTCTGAAACTGCTCTTTTCAGCTGCAGGGGTAAAACTAGGGGGACCTGGCACCCTGACCACTTCATTGAGCTGAAGTGGTCTGGGTGCCTATAGTGGTCCTTTAAACACAGAGTATATTGTGGAACCATAATGTGAATTAATTTTTACTTTTTTTTTTTCTCTCAATCAAATTCCATTGAGAATGATACAAGTTACTATATCTTGCTATGAAGTGATAGGTTGATCTAGAATGCTAGATGCTTTCTCCCCCCTCCATTTGAATATTACATTCAAACCATACATTGTGTCTTCCATGGCTTTTCAATTACTCACAAATTATGTCCTAAATTTGTATATTGAGCTGCAATTGAATAATTTTTGCAGATTTTTTTTTTTTTTTTATTATCCACAGATGTTTCAGCCTTGTTGCGTATACTCACAAACTTCACCGTTGAGTTTTTTTGTTTTGTTTTTTAAATACCGGCTTATTTGTGTGTTAATCTCGTTTCCCTTTAGCAACATTGTAATAGTAATGAATTTGCTTCTTGTATCCTAAAATTACCAAGTCTGTTTTTACCAATGTATATTATTGTCATTTTTCAATGCAGTGTTCATTTCACTGCTTCATTACCACAGCGCGAATTTATCTTTGATTTCTTTGTGTCTAACTGCACATTGTGTTTTTCTTATTGACAATGTTTTTTTTTTTTTTTTTCATGCTTCATGATTTAACTTTGCACAATTTTTAATGGGAGTTTGGTGTGTTTTGTTACCTTTTTCCCCTCTGGCAGGGTGGGGATAACTTTTCTCTTCAATAAACTGTTGGGCTATACATTTAATCCCGAGAAGACAGATTGGTCCACTTCACCAGCTCAGAGTGCTTAAGCACGCTCTGGACCAGCAATGAGAGAAAGTGGAGTATTTTTGTTTTTCCCCCCCTTTTAGAATACGAATATATAAATATAAAAATATGCATGAAGGGGGCTGGGGGGGTGTAATGTGGTCTTCTCCTTGCAGGTGCTCTCTGTCTGCATGATAGAATATCACTTGTGTCGCCAAAGCGCTGTGATCAGTAATAACAGCCCACAATTAAAAAAAAAATAATCTCTGGATGTATATATTGTTTCAAGCTGAATCACTGCACATACAAACTTACCACCATGATCACGTCAAGTTACTGAAGTGGTCATGGTGGTTGGAGTAACTCTTTAAATAAATCAGAGTGAGTTTAAAATATATTTTAATTAAATATTGCAAATATATGAAGAGAAAGTAGACACTATTCTGGCCTAAGATTTTAAACTATTATCAGTTCTCTATGAATATTTTAGTTCTATGCTTGCCAATGGGTGGCAGACAATTGGTAGGAATTTATTCCAACAGCTAGTAGGCCAACAAAATACTTTTTTTTTTTTTTTTACTAAAAACCTAGATGTGACATACGCATTTGTTAAAGCGGAAATTGTAAACACACATTTCCCTTGCCAAAAAAAAAAAAAGGAATCCAAAACAGTTGAGTCAAAGACAACACATAATCTACATTACTTAAAATCAAGAAATACAAAAAAACAAACACATTTTGTTTATTTCACTCTGTTTATTAGCGTTCTGAAATTTTAACATTTTGAAAGTATGCATCTAATGTAGTTGAAAATCAAATACTGAATGTTTTTTTGCAAATACTATTTCCTGTTGGAACCTATAAGCTACTTAAGAAAAGAAAAAAGTTGCACACACTTAACGTGAAAAAAAAATCAACTTACTGTGCCACATCCTTAGCACAAACACCATTCTTACGTTGGGTTTAATTTATTTATATATTCTTTGTGTGAGTGAATTTCAGTCATGTTTGATAAATAAAACTTTTATTTCCGTTAAGATTGTCATGTTTTCTTCAAATGTAGCAAAGCAAATAAAGCTGTTATCTGCATGTTGATCAGATTTATAGCAACATTTACCACAGAAAAAAAAAAAAAATCACTTTAAACCGCAAAAAGCAAAGAAATATTTACCTTTTTATGGCGTGCAGAAACATTACACTCCATTTATAGCAAAAATATTTTATTTTGTTCATGTGAAAATTGTACATTACTTTAAATACAATTTCATCTTTATCTGCACACATTTACAGAATTTCCACACATGAAACTGTGCAGGCAATAAGAAATTCAAATACAAAAATGTATTAAGCGTATTTAAGGAGTTATCAAATTATACCGAGGACCCAGCCCCCAGTTGAAAATGTATTAGTGCTGTGGCTCCTCTGGTGGATTATTCTGGTTCTGTAGGTTCTGTTTTTATTTCTGTAAGTAAAGGTATAGTTTCGCTACAACTTGTGACCGTAGTAGTGTCCATCGGTTCTTGTTTTACTTCAACAGGAGGTGAGAAATCTTTCACTTCTTCCTTAACTAGGTTTAACATAGCATTGAGTGGGTTTTCCAAAAATGTTTTGCTCGGAGACGGTGTGCTATCCAAGAAAGATGATGTCTAAAAAGAAAGGATAATTAATGGCATCAGCAATAAAATGTAAACAGTCTACGTAAATAGAACACCGAGCTAGTGGACATTTATCCAATATGTTTTTCAAGAATGAAAACAAAAAATAAATAATTTACCCGATATTTCTTCTTAAAATAAAGGTTAAATGTTTAAACTATGCCAACCCTTAGATATACCAGATGAAGAGTAAGACTTTAAGAGGACTGGCATGGCAGTTTTCCCACAGAGACCAAATCCTTGCAAAAAAAATTAAATACATTTCCAACACAAAAAGATAAACATATGACAAGTAAGGAAAATGGTAATGGCATTGGGCAGTAATAATTTCCCATTAGCTATGAACTGTAGCAGCTTACAGTAAAGGGCATCTCACTGTGCATGTGTGAGCAGACCTGCAAAGTATCCTTCAGTTTCTTAAACTTTGTACTCTACTCTACACGTGTCAAAGATTACAAAGGCGAAGCTGTTCCTGGCAGCTGCATATGCAAGGTGCTAAAAACTGGAATAGTGTAAGACGACTGGAAGAGTTAAGTATATCCCAATTTCCCTACTAGATGCCACCATGCAAGCGGACGGTGCAGTTTTAACATTTTATAACGAATAAATGAAGCAGACTGTAAAATTAGTTTACAAGCATCCTGAGAGTGACCAATCATAGGCCTTAAGAGTCCAACACGAAGATGGAATTTGATCACTTACAGAAATAAGGTGAATTGGTGGCATTGTCAGGCTTGCTTACAAAAACTGAAGAATGCGGATTATACATATAATCAAAAAAGGTACATAAACACCACAGCTGTAGAACAAGTTGCAGAACTAGAGATTAATAAAGAGTTATCATGCTACCAGCATCCTTCTGCTTCTTGGAAATAAATTTCAAATAACACAAAAAACAAGGAAAGAATAAACAACTTACATTTTTGTAGTCTTCATAACATGAAGGATGGTAAATCTGGACAAAACAAAAATAAGTTTAAAATAGTGCATATTAAGAAAGTGAGAAATCTACTAATTCATGAAGCTTTTATTTCCAAATCACCATATATTAAGCCTTTAATTTCCACATTGTGTAGGCTACTCATTTTTATTGGTAGACTCACCTTGTCATTTACACGCATGGCATTTTTGAGATGCCACTCCTCTTCCTCCTCATCCCAATACTGTTCAAATTGTTCCTCACAAATTTCACAGATCTAGAACAGAAATCAGATGCAATCAAACAAACGAAACATTTTTCCTTTTGAAGTGCCCAATACCTGTGTGACTTGGATATGGGGTCACATGAGTTCTGCATCAAGACTGAAACCACTGTTGATGCCAAATAACAGCTCTGATGTATAAATGGTTGCAGACAAGTTGCATCCAGTTTCCTGAGCAAAGAAGGGTTAAAAGATATTTGAAGAACAAAAAAAATAAACCTGACAAATGGGACCTTTAAGTGAATCAAAATAAAAGTCAATTCACACAATTTTCTGGACACCAAGCCAAGCTGTTCAGACAATCATCTTTACAGTTTGTGTAGCAGTCATCAACCTTAACTTTCAAACAAAATTAATTACAACTGATCCACCTGGCTGTAAAAGTCATCACTTACGGTTTACAAGGCTGCTTTTGAAGACTACAGGTCTCATAATTTACACATACATACATCCATAAATACACACACACACTGTTGCAAATGAGAGACTCACAGGAGTTTCCTTTGAAAAACACAATGTTACTTTAATGTTGCATCGCTATCTTAAAGGACCACTATAGTGCCAGGAAAACACTTGTTTTCCTGGCACTATAGTGCCCCCACCCTCAGGGACCCCCTCCCGCCCGGCTCTGGGGAGAGGAAAGGGGTTAAAACGTACCTTTCTCCAGCGCTGGGCGGGGAGCTCTTCTCCTCCGATCCTCCTCCCATGCACATGCATTCAGCCAGCCAGTCTCATAGGAAAGCATTTACAATGCTTTCCTATGGACGCTTGCGTGCTCTCACTGTGATTTTCACAGTGAGAATCACGCAAGCGCCTCTAGCGGCTGTCAATGATCCAGCCACTAGAGGATTTGAGGGCTGGATTAACCCATTTAGAAACATAGCAGTTTCTCTGAAACTGCTTTGTTTATAAAAAAAAATGGGTTAACCCTAGATGGACCTGGCACCCAGACCACTTCATTAAGCTGAAGTGGTCTGGGTGCCTAGAGTGGTCCTTTAATCGGAAATGAAAGTACAGTACCCTATAGTACCCTCCCTGCAACACAGTGAGGATTAAAAAACGTTTTTGCCACTTAGTCTGCAATCACACTAGGACTACCCCATGGGGAAGTATTGAATCAATGCTTTCTTGTGGGGTTTTAACGAACGCTGGATGTCTTCATGCAGGGAGTGAGGACGTCCAGCGTCAGTTAGACGACCAAAAGGGTCTAACGACCATGAAGCGCCTCTAGTGGCTGTCTGGTAGACATCCCCTAAAAGTGGAATTAAGTCTGCGAGAATTATTGCAGTTTATCAATAACTGCAATAATAACAATTGCAGGATTAAACTGAAAAGGGCACTTGGTATTTACTATGTAACAAAAGGCAGGCATACAACATCTCTAGTCACAAATATTGTTGAAACTCAAGGAAGAGTCAAGGGAATGAAGATGGACACTGGGCTGCATATTCATTATTATAAAATTAGGACCACACCAACATAAACAAATACATGAAAAAACTTGGCAAGAGTCATACTTTGCATTTATCTTTACAAGGAACCTTTAAAAAAAAAAAATACAAAAAGAAACTTACCTCATCAGACCCTGCTGGGCCAGCAACTATACTTTGAAATTTTTTCTCTTTAGCAGCCTCTTGAGTCTTTAAAATGACCTCCTCATGCACCTTTTCAAAAAACTGACTTTTGGCCCGTTCCTCTAAATCAGCAATCTCCACAAAGGCAACCCAGTCCTAGCAATTAAATAGAACATCTTAAAATGTATTTTTTTTATAGCAAAAACAGAATGCATTTGCAACATGATCTTACATACACACACACAATACATGTTTTGCTGAAGTCTTTAAGCAGCTCTCTCACAAACCAAGGCCTTTGCATATTTGGCAATGATGCCCGACGGTGGCTGCTCTGCTGGGTGTTAAGTGGCTGCGCAATTTTTACTTTCTTGTACCAGCCCCTCACTGACACTGCTGGTCTTGCATGCACGGGAGTAAAACAATGAGGACTATGGAGGATCCCCCAAGGCTGCAGCAACCTCCACAGACAATGCCATTTTACCTACAGCCATCACTAGTGGCAGTTGGAAGAAATGGCAGAACTTACCAATGGTAGCTCTGCATTTTGTTAAGCAGTTAAGCATTAAAAATATACTAAAAAAGCAGTTCCTACTTTATCTTTTGACCGTGTTTGAAATTCACTGACCGTTCATGCGAGTTATTAATTTCTGAAATTGTCATTTTGGAGGGCTAAACGCCCTTTTTCCTATATACATAATTTCAGTAGACAATCTTTTTTTCTATGCTAAAGCATACAGGTTAGTTTACTATTAGTCTGCATCTTACAAGATGCCGATAAAAATAAAGTAAAAAAAATAGCTGATGTGGAATACTTCTGCACCTCGGATGCAACCCCAGTTTTAGCCATTTTAGTTTTAAATTTAGCAAAATGGGATTGACTGCAATTTGTTTTTTATTGACTAAAGCTTCAAGTTCTAATTTCCAGGCCTGCACATTAAAAATCAAAAACAGACCTAACCCCGTCCCAATCTGAATTTTGAAAGCAGGGTAGATTTTAAACCTTGTGTTTTCTATTTCTGATGAGATATTAGCCGATAATACGAGTAAGCAAGTTAATTAGATCACTTGTACTTAAAAATAAGCAGCACAGTGGTATTATGACAAGCATAAAAATGCAAAGTTTCAAACACTTACTTGTACGCTGTAATACCACCGACGATACGTTATTTTCCTATCTTTCTCTGTTCTGTTTTGACGATAATGCCAATCCAAGTGGTCAGCGTACACATCTGTCTGGGATTTTGTGAACCTCATGCCACATGAATAGCACTGGATGCCAGTGTATAACCGAGTAATAACGCTTTCATATCGCCTGCATTAAGAAATTGTGTGGTTATGTTTTAAAGTTCTCATGGTGACAATTCAATACATATAAACACAGCACCTAAAGATTCACAATACCATTTTTTTTTGTTTAATCAAAATCAGAATTGGGTATCTAGAAACTACTACACGGCACTCTACACTGCACAATCATCACACTATGTAAGTGACTTGAAACTTCCAAAATATACATGATAGGCATAAGCCACAAAGAGCACCAATAAAATATCAGACATCCCTGTTTGGTCTGATATAGTTTTGGCACAAACATTTAAAACAAAACAAAGGGAAAAAAAATAACCCCACACACTGTAAATATATCAGGGACAAGACACATTTCACAGACTTTCTGCCACTGTTCTATTGCATCACACTATCATAGAATGGATTACCCAAAATATGAATGGTTTTTTGTGTGCCAAAGTAGCTGTTATGGTGGCGCAAAATGTTGAATATTTGAAGGAGATATAAATGTCAGAAGAACATCTCTTCAAAAGTCTTTTCACTTATTTATCCTCAATCCAACTTTTTAAATTATACATACTGTTTCAGGTCCTCCATGGAAAAACCAGTCAAATCAGGGACATCCTGGTCCTCAACAGGTTCATCATCCTCTTCCTCAGGAGGAGGTTGTGATGCAGGCTCTGATTCAGGTGCTTCACTTGTTGATTCTAGAATTAAAATAGAAAAAAAGGATTTGAAATATTTGTATTTGTACAGTAAAAAGATGGTTGTTACTAGCAATATACTACATAGTACGTCAATGATAAAATAAACTACTTTGCTCTTTAAGTCAATTTTCTAAAATCTAAGTTTAGACAATCCAAGAGAATATAGAACATGGATTTGTTGGGCAACCAAGGCACCGTTAAGTAGCATAGCGCCTAGTGCCTGACCTACTAAAATACAATGAAGGATTCAGATGGACCTCTGATTTGTGACTTTCAGAGGCACTATAAAATCTTATTTAAAAAAGGTTATAGTGCCTTCAGTAGGTCTTCACCTACAGTACTGAATATTTTGAAGCACAGCTTCAAGTAACGCCTCTAATCCCTTGAGATAGCTGGGACTGTTACTTTCCGGGTCACATACCATATCATGCGTAGTGCCGTTCATGGCTTGTGACATATGGATAATAATATAATGCAATGATTCTAACAAGATGTTGACTACCAGATCGTGGCAATCGTCACGCACAGATGTGTAGGCAACATCTACATGACGACATCGCACTAGGGAGAACGGGCAGAGCCACCACAGGAACCTGCACTACACAAGAGCAGGTAAACTCACTTTATAGGACAGGACGACTTTAGGAGATTATGGTTAGGTTTGTATTCCAAATTCTAGTGTGCCCCTTTAAGTTTACATATCTATTCTATAAATATTTCACAGAGCTCTAAATAAAGAGAAAGTGACTTACGACTCGGTGTCTCCGTTTGAGAAGCTTTAAGGATTCCTGTTGAAAGCAGCTTTGAGAAGAGCTCATTAACATCAAGCTGTCCCAAGTGATTTTCAGGATAGGTAAGAGACGCAGCTGAAATGGATTATGTACAATTATCACAAAAATGTATGAATATAAGATTCACATGTCAACCACTTAATATGCATGCATTTGTAATAAGACACTAGAAAATTTTAAAAAAAAAATTAAAGAAATCAAACACCACACTAGAAAACAAGCAGATTCATAGATTCTGCATGCAATGAAAAATAGCAAAGAAAAATATGCACCCCAATTATGAAACATGGTAATATTAAATGAGCAAAAAAAAAAAGTTGGAGAGACTCTACTGCCCAAATACAAAATAAAAATCACTGTTTAGTAAAAATATACTAAATGAAAACTTAAATGCATTTTTTTTTTTTTTATTGGGGGTTAATCTAAAAACAGCTTGTAAAACCTGCAGCTCACTGCAGTGAGAAGTCTTTTGCAAGCAGAAGCTCTGAGCAATTGCTGCCTCTTGACGTTACCTCCACTGAGATAACAAAACCAAGAACTAACATTACCTGTTGTCTGCTTGGTAGCAGAAAGATAGTGTTACCAGATTAATTTATAAGAGTGTCAATCTCTATTGAAATCTGCATATTTTGCAAAATGAAAAAGAACACTCTTAGTACATACCTGGCTGGTTGTTTACAAATACTCCCACATTTGACCCTTGTGAGGGTGGTACAAAAGGCTGTTCCTGATTGAAAGGCGCTGGGGGAGGGAACTGAAGAACAAATTAAAAAACAAATTGAAGTTTCATAGAATAAATATATATATATATATATATATATATATATATATATATATATATACATACACACACACACACATATATATATATATATATATACATACATACATACATACATACACACACACACACACACAAATGATAAACGTTATTCAAGATTTTATTTTTACTTACTGGTTGACTTGCTGGCATATTTCCTACAGACAGATTACTGAAACTTCCAAATGGAGGTCCTTGTTGACTTTTGTCATCAAAATAAGGTCCAGGTGGTCTAAGATTCTGGTTTGGAAAACGAGGAGGTCCAGTAAGGTTTGGACCTGGTGGCATGTCAAATCTTTGCTCTGGTCTTTGAAATGGCATTCCTTGAGGAGGCCCCTGAAACATGTTTTGATGATCAACATAAGGTCCAGTCTGGCCATAAGGTGGTGCATTTTGCCTGATTGGTGGATGAGTTACATTTTCAAACCTTGGCCCTTGATGCCCAATCGGCATTTCAAATCGTGGTTGTGGATTAGGGCCATCAAACCTTTGCGGCATAGGTCCATCAAATAATGGCTGCATTTGCATAGGTCCATCAAATCTTGGAGGAGTTTGATGTCCAGGGGGACCTTCAAACCTTTGGCAAGGTTGGCCATGTAGCACATCGAACCTTGGCAAGTGGGCTGGTTGACCTTCAAATCTATTAACAGGAGCATCAAACCTTGGAGGTCCATCAAATCTGGGAGCACCATCAAACCTTGGAGGTCCATCAAATCTGGGAGCACCATCAAACCTTGGAGGTCCATCAAATCTGGGAGCACCAAACCTTGGAGGTCCATCAAATCTGGGAGCTCCATCAAATCTCGGTGCCCCGTCAAACCTAATTAAAGATTGTGGACCAGGTCCATGGTCAAAACGTGGAGGCTGGTTTACATCAAACCTTGGACCATGAGGTCCTTCAAATCGCATTGAACCTACTGGTTGCCCCACATTTGCATCAAATCGCATTTGTTGTCCAACTGGTTGTTCAAACCGCATGGGTGGGCACTGTGGACCCTCAAACCTTTGTTGCAATAATGGTGGTCTTGGTGACCCATCAAATCTTTGTGGACCTACTGTGCCTTCAAATCTTTGGGAACCCAAAGTCTGCATGCCTTCAAACCGTTGAGGTCCTAATGGTTGGCCTGGAGTTCCTTCAAATCTTTGGGCGTTCAATGGTGGACCTTGCACTCCTTCAAATCTCTGTCTTCCTAAAGGCTGACCTTGAGAACCCATAGGCTGGACAGGTGCAATCTGAGTTTGTGCAACATCAAACCTCTGCATACCTACAGGCTGAACAGATGTACTTTCAAACCTTGGACCATCCAATGGCTTGCTAGCCATGGGTTCAAAAGGAGCATCAACTTGCATTTGCTCAAAGTGCTGAGAGCCCATCTGGTTCCCTGATGGACCATCAAAACGCATACAAGCATTTGATGGAGAATTCTCTCTGATGTTTGCTGCATTGGGAGATTCTTCAAAGCCTTTCACAGCAGGCAAATCCATCCTTGTACCAGGAGGCAGTCTTAATGGGACGTCATGGATTTGTCTTCTATCATCAAGCAAAGTACCATGTTTAGCATCATTTCCAGTTATTCTTGAGTCACCATCACTAAACAGTGCTTGCTCTGATCCATCAAATCTGGGTCTGTTGTGTTGAAAATGCTCATTGTAGGGAGATATTGGTTCTTCTCTTAATCCTTTGGAGGGAAAAAATAAATAAAATGATAAATTTTATAACATAAAAGAAAGTAAATATAAGTGTTCATTGCAAAAACTGAATATAAGGTAATATTGCTTGACAATGGATAAGCTATTTGCTTTAGTCTTGGCATCAGGTTCCTTTGTGGTGTTGATGAAAATCTTAAATGCAAATCAGTTAACCAACAAAAAATGTAGTTTTCCCAAATATTTTAAGAGAAATGTACACTAAAACGGATAGAGGATTCCGTGAATAAACATAGATAACTGCAGTTAAAAAGTGGTTTACATGTTAAATGTACCTGTTGAAAGCTCTCTCTTATCATCAGGTCTTCTTTGACTCTCAATGGGAGCATCTCCATCATGAGGCCTGGAGTCAGGTATAGGAGACAAGTGCCTTTGTCTCTCTGAAAATGGTTCACTTCTATCAGAGATGCCAGCAGAAATCCTTCCGCCATGTTCACTTTCTCGACCTGAATGTACCATTTCATCCAGCTGGTAATCTAAAAACTCAGATTCCGAAAGATCAGGCCCTGGAAATGGATGTTGGACTTGTGTCCTTTTAAGTCTTGCCTTATGCTCATAGTAGGTCAACTCTGCATTGGAGAGAAGGGGTTTTTTCCTCAGTCCTGCTTTGCTTTCCTCAGTGGGACTATCCCATGTGTTGCTATTTCTGCGTTTTTCTTCTTGATATTGAAAGAGTTGCCGAATTTGATGAGCCACAACAAGGAACTCATCCTGTGTTATTTCACCGGATGCCAATCGTTCATTAGCCTAAGGTAAAAAATGATAGTTATATTTTGTATTTAGAATTGCACACAAGACAAAACTTCATTTTATGGGATTGTCTGGAAGTATTACAGAACTTGAACCAGTATGTGTTTGTATATATTCCCGCTGTTGTGCAGCTCTGCAGAATATTACAGTAACTCATAGGCCCCACCTACTTATTAATGGAAAAGCCTAGAAGTGTGGAAGAGGTGGCAATCCCTAAATAGATTTCACATACAAAACAAACATACCTAAAAGTATAGAAGAGGCTGTTGGCAAAACAAGTCAATTGGCAACCCTCCTATCCATTTTTTATAAAATCAATACACATTAAAAATCAGGATCAATACCCTGTTACACACACATATAGGCTCCAAGCCACATACTCAAGACCTAGGGAGCAGGTCACTGAAACCACAAACAAACCACAGACACACAAATTACCTTTTTAAGTAATTCTCCTTTACTTGCACTTGTCAATTCTTTTGGTATTTTTAAATCTGCGTCAACACTTAGCCACGGTTGTTGCTTTTGTGTGCGGGGAGACAATATTCCTTTATTATTTTGCCAGTTATCTCTGTGCCTTGGGTATGGATTCCTATTACCTGGATGGTGTTCTTCATTCTGCAAACTTTAAAAACAAAGATAGAAGTTAAAATGGCACCACAGCCTGAAGAGGAGTTTTTGAAAGGAGTACGATCAATTCATCAGAATGTAAGCCAACTATTGCTAGTGTAATGCTTTTAAAGTGCCGAAACATTAGTATGCTACTCAGGAAAGGCTGTTAAAGCAGCATTTTACATTCCCATGTTTAGATTTAGGTCCCTTTTTATGGATTATGTTTTAAAGGAACACAAAGAATAGCTGATGTACTTTTTCTCTGACATTTCAAACAAATGGCAGTGTTTGCATTTGGCTGAACTGGATTTAATTTTTTTTAATTTATACAAGCCACCTCACAAAATTATAAAGTATCCCATTCACTATATGACCAAACCAAAATGATGTCCAAATTCCTACTCCTTATGTTACTTGCCCTTGCAAACTATGCCCAGCTAATTATAGTCCTAATCTTCCCACTAAAAAAGGCCTCTCTTTTGTGCACTGCAACATGTTTTAGAAATGACAGAGCAAAGAGAGGAGAAGGCATTGTCATTTATTTCTCAGAAATGGCACTGTTTTACAAAGCAAGAGAAAAGTGTTAGTACCTATGCTTAGAGTGTCCCTTTAAAACAATAACTTGAAAATAAAAAATAAGAAGCATGGTTCTACTTACCTTTTATTTTCTTCCCATGTGGATTTCCATCTTTTACTAGTTTTCAATCCTTGCCAATTTTCTATATTTTCTTTTGGCTCAGAACTGGACTTCGAGGAAACAGGAGAAAGAGGATCTTTCTGTCTTTCCTCTGAAGATTTCTTAAGCCTTCGATTATCTCGAGCATCTATTTTTGGAATCCTTTTACTTCTTTCCTCTCGTGTATTTGATGGAAAATCATCTCCATGGGGTGGTTTAATGCCAGGAGGACGCAATTTGACTATATCCATGCCAGGAGGACGCAATTTGACTAAATCCATGCCAGGAGGACGCAATTTGACTAAATCCATGAGAGGAGGAATAGGAGATATGCTTCGTTGCCTTCTCTTTGGCGATCGTCTTTCCCTCCGTTTAGGGGAATGTACTGGTGATCGAGGCTTTGGTGAACGCACCGGAGACCGGGATTTTGTTGAACGCACAGGCGACCTAGGTTTTGGTGAATGTGATCGCTTTCGATTGCTCATTCTTCCAGATTTAGCAGCTAATTTATCAGAATCAATAATATTTATATCCTTTTTTGGAGACACACCATTTACAATTTTATTCCGATTTCCAGTTTGTCTGTGTTCAATGGATTTGTGCTCTTCTCTCTTTTCCAGACATTTTTTCTTCTCTTTAGTTACATCGTCTCTCTCATCAGTTTTATCTCTTAGGTGTTTCCGTAGCCTTGGATCTTTCTTAGTTAGATCAGCACTCCTTACATTATCTGGAGTTTGACACTTCTCCTTTGTGTGAGGGGACTTCATTTTAAGAGGGGATGGAGATTTGGATTTTCCTTTCAGCTCAGTTTCCACAGGGTCATTTTTAAGTGGTTTTTCATTAAACTTGGCCTTTTCTACTTTTCCAACGTTCTTTTCAATTGGTATAGGTTTAGTTTGCTTAATGTCAGCTGTACTCAATGTAATGGGTTTCAGTTCTTTTTTATGACCTTGGTCTTTATGTGGCAAATGTGGATTAGCTCTAATAAGGCGAGGGTCTCTGATTGGCACTTGGGGCCTGTCAGGGGGCTGTGTAGATACGGAAGCTCTGCTCTTTTCAAGATTTACAGGAGGAGGAGGAGGGGGAGGGAGTGGAAGTTTAGCAGGAGGGTGGCGAATCTCTGGTGTAGCAGTATTAGGTTTTACAGGTAGCGAAACAGAACTAATACTGCTTGCCTGGTGGGAAAAAAATAAAACCATTATATATTGCTCTATAAACAATTTCAAGAAATAAAATGATATTAAAAAAAAATTATACAAAGTCAGTTAATAAAATAAAAAATAGCCTTTTTTGCAAAATGTAAAAGCTCAGTTGGTTCATGCTGTTAAGTGTGCTTTTGTTCCAACAGGCAAACTACAGAAAAAAACAACAAACATAACCAAAACAAGGTAATGGTTGTACTGAGAGACCCTCATAACACTACTTGAACCATCTGTGAAGTGGTAAGGAGACCATCACTCTATTTCAATACTATAAACTACTACAATAAAACAAATCCTACTCACCAGTTGTGCTTTTGTTTGTTCCAACTCAAGCTCCAACTTCTTTTGTTGAAGTTCTAACAACTGTTTTTGCTTCACCAGCAATTGTTGCCTAATCACCTGCTCTTGAGACAGTTGCTTCTGTACATCAGGATTACTTGGGCGAGGTGGTACAGCAGATGGGGATGGAATGGTGGCTGGAGGAGATTCCTCTGACTGATGGAAGGGGAATAAAATGTTTAAAAGCAATTACTATTGCTCCACTAGAACTAGGATTTACATACAAGAATATGTTGAAGCAGGGGCATGTTAACAGAATTCATTTGTTATTACAGATAAAACTCAACATGCACTCCTTCCAGGAAGAAAAAAAAAACATTTAAACTGTAATACTTAAGTTCTGTTAAATGTGCTTTAAACTTCTCAAAGTCCTGGTTTGTCAGCGAAAAATGCATCAAGCAAATTAAACCAATTATAGAATTAAAAAGCATGAAAAAAAAAAAAAAAAGCATTATACTTACTTTGTTTAAGAATTTGGGGTTCACATGAATGCTAGCAGTGTTAACATTTGGAGGTACAGGTTTAATTGGCCAAGCTGGGTCTATGGAGTTGACTCTCACATCAAGCGCAAACAATTTCTTTGAAGGAAAAATGGCATCCCATGTCGAACGTAATTTATATAAACTTTTTCTAGTATTTTCGTCCACCTGAAAGCAAAACAATTCTGTATCTTGGCAATTTATTACACATCAACATACTTTTACAGGGTTATTGACTGAGATGTGAACTGTAAGGAATTCAAAATTTATGTCCAAAATATCCAAATGGGAAGAAAAATAAAGTCTGTAAGTCAACTACCCTTCCAATTAGGCTATTGTGTCCTAAATGCAGACACTCACTGTTGATTCCTTATAAATCACAATTTAGTGAACAACCTTGTTTATACCGAACCCACAGTACTTGTTGCAAGTCAGCTGGGTATAAAAGATAATGTTTATTCAATAAACAAAAGTAAAAGATATATACTGAACTTTTAATTAGTGTAAGAGAAAGACATGTATGCTTTAGGACACATGTAATGTCTCCCTGCATTACTCAGTGACTGAACAATCAGCTTGACCTGTATGCGTTCTGTTACCCACATTCATAGTTTTCACATTTTGTCCCATCTACTAATTAAATGCAAAGTCAAGGGTCTTGCATTGCGCTGATAAACGGACCTCGTGTTTGCCACTGACTGGTTTGAGTTAACACCAACAAAGCCCAAAACAGATGTAATGTGGCTGTCAATGTAAAATAGCATTAATTTGCTGTTAATTTTCATGGCAGGTAAGGTACCTACTACACACCAGTTTTTACAACACTCTTAAATTCTAGATGTACTTAAAAGAAAAACATGTCACAAACGTTTCCCCAACCATGTCAATGTATAGAGTGAACATTAACGGGAACAGTAATTGCTTTACCTCATTGAGGTGGCAAAGTACCTGGAATCCCCTGGCTCCAACCTTTCTTTAAAGGACCACTCTAGGCACCCAGACCACTTCAGCTTAATGAAGTGGTCTGGGTGCCAGGTCCAGCTAGGGTTAACCCATTTTTTAATAAACATAGCAGTTTCAGAGAAACTGCTATGTTTATTAATGGGTTAAGCCTTCCCCCAAAGCCTCTAGTGGCTGTCTCATTGACAGCCACTAGAGGCACTTGCGTGCTTCTCACTGTGATAGCACGCCTGCGTCCATAGGAAAGCATTGTAAATGCTTTCCTATGCGACCAGCTGAATGCGCGCGCAGCTTTTGCCGCGCGTGCGCATTCAGCCGACGGGGCGGAACGGAGGAGGAGAGCTCTCCGCCCAGCGCTGCAAAAAGGTAAGTTTAAACCCCTTTCCAGAGCCGGGCGGGAGGGGGTCCCTGAGGGTGGGGGCACCCTCAGGGCACTATAGTGGCCCTTTAAGCGTTAAACCGTTGGTAATGTTTTAATACAAAGTGAGAGTCCTCAGCAGCAATTTCCCTCTGTGCTGCTATAGCAGATGAGGAAGCATTAGCTGTGGGTGACCAGTGACCTATATTATATATATTTGTGCTAAATTGCTCAAAATGGTTTAAAATTAAATGGAAAGATGGTGCAAGGGGAACCCAGGTACTATAAGCAATTAAATGAAATAGTTATAGTACCTACAGTGTCCCTTTAAATATTTATTTTAAAAGGACTATAGCTATGAACAGTGATGCACAAGCAATGTAGTTTAATTATACAAAACTATAATGGATTACACAAACTTGTTACCCCCCGTAGCTGTAAAGATTAAAACGTAGACCACAACAGACAAGATTATCAAATGTTGCCATTTTGAGCTAGAAGGAACCCACAGTGCTTTTTAGAAAATATATCTCCAAGATTAATTTATATAAAAATTTCGCTATAAAACCCAAGCATGTAAACCAACAAATAATACAATTGAAAGACGGAGGGGTAACGTCACAAAGCAGGAACTTAGTACGGATTAAACTGACCAATAAGTGTATAACAATTCTAACATTTTAGAAGGAAACAAAAATGGCATCTTTTTTTTTTTTTTTGCATTTATTTAAAAAAATAAAAATAAATTGTGCTTTAAAATTTTTTTTAAAGTTCTTTGTAAAATAAGGGGATGGAGAGAGGATTTGATCTATAAGCATTGGACAGCAGACAGTACTACCCTCCATTGTTGTACTTGTTCTCTGAAGCCATCTCAGTATCACAAGAATGCTCAAAAGCTAGTAGACTTAAAGGGACACTAGTCACGAAAACAACTTCAACTTAATGAAGCAAGTTTGCCGTTTAGATTATGCCTCTAAAGTTTCAATGCTCAATTTTCCACCATTTAGGAGTTAAATCACTTGTGTTTCTGTCCATGCATCCCTACCAACACCTCCCGTGACTGTTACCAACACAGCCTGCATGAAAAAATGGTTTCACTTTCAGATACAACTTACTTTAAAGATTTTTTTTCCTGCTCTGTAAATTTAACTTAAAGTAAGTGTAAACATGAGTTGACTCTTTAAAGGAAGTGTTTAGGAAGGCCATGTAGGTCACATGCAGGGAGGTGTCCCTTTAGCTGCATAAACAAAGTGATTTAACTCCTAAATAAACAGATTTGAGCACTTAACCTGCATGGATATGATCTATACAGCAAAACTGCTTCATTAAGCAGACTATAGGGTTTTGTTAACGATTTTGTTTTAACCGCTGACTTTTCCTAAAATTAAGAAAAGTATGAGACAAAGGAATATTTAGGAGCAGTGGTTCCAAATCCAGTCCTAAAGGCACACAAACAGCCCAAGGTTTATGCATTTCCCAATTCTGTTCCAAAGGGCGTACTGCCAAAAATCTAGATAATTGATGTTCCAAAACGACAGTGCTGGTAACCACCGCTTTGAACTAAAGGTGAAAGTCAAATTACATCTTACATTAAAATAAATTTTATCTTTTTAAAAAACTACATTACAAGGTTTCAGAGAAAAGAAAGAAATATTCATCTATACCTTTTCGAACACATTAACAAATGTAGTAACTAGGTTTTTAGCAAATGCTGTGGGGTAGTCTCTTCCGATGTTTTTAACAATGGAATCCATTAGATACATGACTGGAAGTTTCTCTGAAGTTGGAGCCTAAATAAAAGAAAACTGATAAAGTTTAATATGACAAAACCATAATCCCGCTTTACTCCCATGTGTATACAAACCAAAGCATATTATTATACGGCCAAAGGTTTTATAGGGTCCAAATTTGCAGAGTGGAAGTATTTAGTGTTTTTTTTGTTTGTTTATTCTTAGTGTTTTGAAATCCAAAATAAGCAGTCTGTATTTAGTATTACACCATTGTATTGCATCCACGTGTCAAACTTTTGGGATTTATTTTTCCTTTTATTTTTTTACAATGAGAAACGTATATTTTCTTTCAATAGGCAAACCGCAGCATCCATTTCAGGAACTCCAAAGTCGGACAGAATGCAGGTTCTCCATACTTGTAGAGGTTTATTTATAATCTTGACTCCACCATGCCAACCGTTGAAAACAATTTGTACAGACAAGTAAGGATACTTAAAACCATCCAGAAAAAGTGCAATCATTTATCCAAAGGCACTTTGTGTTCCTAATTTGTGAAATGAGTCAACTGTTTAAACGGCTGCTGTGGAGAAAAGGTTACCATCCCTAAAACCAGGCAAGTCAGCCAGCGTGTCTCCTTCAAAAATCTTCCCACTAACACGTTCAAGTCTCACAGAAAACACTAATCCTTCTTGCAACATGCATATAACAGTAGTACTGATTTGAATAATACCCTTAAAAAAAAAAAAAAATCTCATCCATGCTATCAGATTTGTGAAATGTTATAGTATTTTGGAAAGTACCTTGAAATGTATCTAGAATGTAATAGTCATACACAATGTGATGTTGGCCAACCTCCAACAAGTTCACGAATACCTTAATGGGTTTGTCAACCTGCTCAGTCGTAATATTAACGTGTGTGATATTTTAGAACAACCTTACAAGTCTTTAGAGTCTCAACAGATCCCTTCACAAAATAACTCATGAACAATATTTTCTAAAGCACATTTAAAAAAGGTTAACCCCCCGACCCCCTTCCCCCATGCAGAGTAAGGATACCAGGAGACCAACACCCAAAATTACTTAATTTAGCAAACATCTGCTGAGAACCAACTTTGTAAAATGTATAATTAGTGTAATTATGCTGGTGTATGTTTATGAGTATATATATTAAAAAAATTAAAATTCTGATTAGTACTTCCAACTAAATAATTAAAAATAAAAAGGTTGGACAAAATTTAAAGTGTGCACCCCCACCCAATATGTCAGTAGGCAAGGTTGGAAAAAAAATTATTATTTTTTTAAAAAAATATATAAATATGTGAATAAAATAAAAACCAGCTTCTTTTTTCAGTTATCGTAGGGCAACGAAAGCCTCAAAAAAAAAAAAAAAAATTTCAGTGATTTCCATCATGTACCTTTTTACACCTTATGAATACAACACATACAGCACATAAACAACAGTAAATAAAAAGACAAATACATATTTAATACATTTTATTTACAGATTATAGCATACCAGTCACACGGTTTCAAGTCATTTATTGAAATGTATACTAATACTCAGTGTTACACTAGAAGACAGTGGTGCACACAATGTGTAGCATGAGGAAATCATACAGACAGCTGTGTAATTAAAGATAGCTGCAAAGTGGGCAAAGAGCAAAGTTAGAAAATACCTCTCTAAAGAGCTAACATCATTCTACATGTTTGAATAAATGCAACGGGCATTTTGTACTGAACAATAATGACAACAGATTGTTTAATAAGGCAATTCGTCTGAAGGAGGTGTTAGGAAGCAGGGATTCAGAAGGGATTTAGACCGACCACACACTAGCTGTTGCAAACAAAGTTACCCATATTGCACTGACATACGTATGGCTTAAACATTGTGGGAAATGCAATCCCAACAAAAGCCAGATTGCCTAAATCCTCACTAAACAATATAGTAGTGCTTCTCAAAGTGATGATCCATTGACCTGCTGTGAGGTCCAGAGTTAATGTTCACTTCTTATCAGGCCTGCAAGCGGAAGACAGAGCCAGCTGAGTCACACTGACATTGATATGAATTGAGTAATGCTCTCCAACACACAAATTGTGGGTCTCATACATCAGTACTTTGAGCAGCACTGCTAAACATTATAATCATTACATACCTGGTGTCAACTGTACTGTAGCTTAACAATGCTTAAAGGACCACTATAGTGCCAGGAAAACAAGTCTATAGTGGTCCCACTCCCGTCACGCTGAGGGGGGGAGGAAGGTGTTAAAACTTACCTTTTTCCAGCGCCGGGCGGGGAGTTCTCCTCCTCCGATCCTCCCATTCGGCTGAATGCGCAGTCACAGCAAGAGCTGCGCGCGCATTCAGCCGGTCTCATAGGAAAGCATTCATAACGCTTTCCTATGGACGCTTGCGTGCTCTCACTGTGATTTTCACAGTGAGAATCACGCAAGCGCCTCTAGCGGCTGTCAATGAGACAGCCACTAGAGGAATTGGAGGAAGGATTAACCCATTTACAAACATAGCAGTTTCTCTGAAACTATGTTTATTAAAAAAAAATGGGTTAACCCTAGCTGGACCTGGCACCCAGACCACTTCATTAAGCTGAAGTGGTCTGGGTGCCTAGAGTGGTCCTTTAATTGTGAAATTGCAATGAAAAGGGAAAAACTGCAGGTATTGACATATGGTAACAAATGGGCTATATTAACCTTTAAAAAAGGGAAGTTACTCCATCCTTCGCAAATAAAAATAAGTTTAAGTGGAACAGTCACCATAATGCATTTTTCTTCAAATTAATAGAGCTTTAAAAACCTGTTTTACATCTAGCTTTTATTCTTACGTGTGTAAAAAGACAGTTGGAGCTAGCGCTCCGCAAAGCTTATAGGCTTACTGTGCATGCTAAGGAGAGATACCTAAATTTACTGGGTGGGTGGTTGGAATTTAGGATCGGCGTGCAACCCATCCAATCAGCATCAGCTGTTGAGTCACTCAGCGCGGCAAGTTCATGTCATCTATAAATTTTCTATAAAATGAAATATATATATATATATATATATATATATATATATATTTATTTGACATAAGCCGAGTACACTTTTTTGGCAAAAGTTTGCTTTTAACCCTGTTATCTAGAAAAAGTTAGTGGCTATAGTTTTCTCATTATTGACTCATTCATGGAGTAGTTGACAACTCCCATTTTAGAATAAATTACATCTTAGTATACACTGTAGGATATACATAGATAACTTTACTATACATTTGTGATCGAGAAGTCATAGAAAATCTGGTGAATGACATGTGGCATTGTCAGATTAGCTACATTCACGTTTTATTAATACTAGCCACTTACATAATATTTACAATGCTCCCACTGAAAACCATGGGAAGGCTGGCAATGAAATATCATGTAAAATACTACACCAGACAATGGCTTAGAGAAATGCAAAGGAATGTTTTTATTTTGTCCCTTTAAAGGACCACTATAGGCACACAGACCACTTCTGGGTGCCAGGTCCATCTAGGATTAACCCTGCAGCTGTAAACATAGCAGTTTCAGAGGAACTGCTATGTTTACACTAGGGTTAATCCAGCCTCTAGTGGCTGTCTCATTGGCAGCCGCTAGAGGTGCATCCACACTTCTCACTATGAAAAATCACAGTGAGAAGACGATGACATCCATAGGAAAGCATCGAGAAATCCTTTCCTATGGACTGACAATGCGCGCGCGACTCTTGCCACGCATGCGCCGATGACATCGGAAGAAGGAGGAGGAGAGTTGCCCGGCACTGGAAAAAGATAAGTGTTTAACCCCTTCAGCCCGGCGGGAGGGAGGCCATAAGGGTGGGGGGGACCTATTGACACTATAGAGCCAGGAAAACAAGTGTTTTCCTGGCACTATAGTGGTCCTTTAAGTACATGATCCACTATAATAAAATAAAAAAAATGACAGAAAAAAAAACAGAAAGCTTTAACTACAAATTAATGTATATGTTACCTTATGCCTAGCTCATATTTGCATATTCTCGCATTTGTTGAGCAGGGGACCAGGGTAGTATTTTCTGCCACAATGTTTTATGCATGAAGTTGCAATCTTTTGATATAGCAATATCATGCCAAGACAAAGTTAGGAAATGCATCAAGCTTACTATTTTATATTACCACAAACAGACTGCAAATATGATTTCAAAAGAAATCAATTACAATACACACATTAACAAAATCTCGCTCACTCCTAATCTGAACAGACAGTCAATGATTGTCTGCTCTGATTTAAAAGAATGATAATGCCAGTCATAAGAAAGAATAGTCTAAATAAAAATAAACATGCATTATACCAATCCCAACCTATCTTGACTTAGATAAATTCTTCTGGAGCAGTCTTGCTTGTGTTCGTTCAGGGCAATTTCTAATCAAATGCTTCACACAAAGAAGCAAATGATAGGCAGAGCATGGCAGTGTCATTGTGCCACAATGTTTCTCTATCACAGAGAAGTATTAGCCATGCAATTAGTGTCAGCAAAGGGTGCATGCTGACACTGGATGTAGAAATAGGCCCATTTAGAATAGATTTAAGATGGAAGCTCCTCCTATAGCCACTAGGGAAATATGGAAGGAAAAATAGAAAAAAGGCCAATTATTATTTATTTTTTAAAGAGCACTATTCTTAACTATAAGGTCACAGGGGCATGATCTATGCATTAAAATTAAGTGATTTGGTTCTTATCATGGCCCTCCATGTAAAAATGATTATCAAGGTCAGCTTGAGTTTTTTGTTTATTTAACTTATTCTTTGTGCTAGTTAAAAAAAAAAAAAAAAACACAGCAAATGTATAAATTAACAGATACTTACCTGAATATTCCTTGTCTAAAACTGCAGATGACAAAAGAAATTGAAAAAACTAGGCTATATTTAATCTAAATAATTTCAAGCAATATAACTGGCACTATAAGTGACCATTTAGTCACTGACGTAATTACTGCAAAATAAACACCCTGCTGTTTACACAAAAACGAAAAATAAATGTAATGTTTTTATTGGATGTGCAAAACATACCAATGTAATCTCATTGCCCATACATGAGAAGACCTATGCAGGATCATGTCGTTTAACAGGACGTCATAGAGAACATGGAAGGGTTTAAGGTGTCATGATTACAGGAACCATTTCAATTACATAAACGTTCCAGTTCGAGACTATTTCCTTCTATAACCTCCAGTTTAATGTACAAAGCTGTACAAGGCATCCAATATGGTAATATTTGTATCCATTACTACCAAAAGATTGCAACTATACAACACATCAAAAATAGCAATAAATGGCAGAAATACACCTTTTTTTTTTTTTTAATTACCAAGAACGGTATAACTTCCCTTTAAAATATAGATTGCGTGGGGTCAGGAGAATATCAGTAATAACTATTCAGTGATCAGTCTCCCTAGACTCAGGTTAGTGGAGTATGGGGGCCACTAATACTTACACAAGAGCATAATTGGCCAGGACTGTTTTCTTAAAGGATCACTATAGGGTCAGGAATAAGTTTAACACCACCATCTAGCCCCCCCTGGCCTCCATAAATATAGTAAAAATCTTACTGTATTCAAGCCTAAAACTGTAACTCTGCATGCTGTTAGACTAAGAAAAGCAAGCAGTCTGCTGACATGTGGTAGCCTGATCCAACCACAGTGCTTGCCCATGGGATTGGCTGAGACTGACAAAGAGGCAGATCAGGGGCAAAGCCAGCATGATTCAAACACAGCCCTGGCCAATCAGCATCTCCTCAAAGAGATGAATTGAATCAATGAATATCTATGAGGAAAGTTCAGTGTCTGCATGCAGAGGGAGGAGATACTGAATCACAGGATGCTGTGCACAGTGCTGTCCTGTGCTCTGCTGACAGCACATCTGAGTGGATGGAGGCATATTATACCTCCATCAACTGAGAAGTCCCTCTGGTTCACTCTGAGTGATTGCAACTGGAGGTGTTCCTAGCTTCCAATGTAAACACTGTATTTAGTAGAAAATACAGTGTTTACATGAGAAAGGCTGCAGGGAGCTATAGCTCTCACCTGAAGTTGTTCAAGTGACAATAGTGTCCCTTTAACTTGAGGCCAACCTAACTATGGGTTGCATGTGGAAACCTCAATACTAGATAAAACTCTGAAACTAAAGTCAGATTGTCTGCTCACTAATAATCACTTTAGCTTTATTATTTTACAGTTAAAAAAAAGTTGTTTGTAAGGCCCTTAAGTTTTTATACAAATCTATGTAAACACATGTGGATCTGCCAAAACACAGGTGAGGGGGTTAATACAACCTAAAGTACTGTTATCTACCTGCAAATACAAGTATTACTGATGGCCATGAGTTGGACTATTAATGGAACACACCAAGTACTATAACCACTAGAGGAGATGCCATGGTTAAAGTGCCTAAAATTCCCTGCTACAGCAACATGTAAGTAGCCAAACCATTATTTCTGCCTAAATTACAAAATAATTTGGTGACTTACAAATAGAAAAACATCTGATCCAAGAACCAATACCATACACGGCCAAAGACCATATTTTTCAATAATAAAACAGGGCGAGGATTTCTTTGCCCATAGAAAATAACTTGTTATTGAACCAGGCAAGTGAAAATAACCTTAAAGTACCACTCTAGGCACCCAGACCACTTCAGCTTAATGAAGTGGTCTGGGTGCCAGGTCCTTCTAGGGTTAACCCATTTTTTAAGAAACTGCTATGTTTATTAATGGGTTAAGCCTTCCCCCAAAGCCTCTAGTGGCTGTCTCATTGACAGCCACTAGATGCGCTTGCGTGCTTCTCACTGTGATTTTTGCGACCGGCTGAATGCGCGTGCAGCGCTCGCCGCGCGTGCGCATTCAGCCCAGGAGGAGGAACGGAGGAGGAGAGCTCCCCGCCCAGTGCTGGAAAAAGGTAAGTTCAAACCCCTTTCCTGCTTCCAGAGCCAGGCAGGAGGGGGACCCTGAAGGTGGGGGCACCCTCAGGGCACTATAGTGCCAGGAAAATGAGTATGTTTTCCTGGCACTATAGAGGTCCTTTAAAATAGTTTATCCAGCAGTTTAGTGGTGCATTAAAACAAGTCACCAAGAATCCCTGTATGGCAGTGGTTCTCAAAGCAGTCCAAAGGCCACCATGTAAGGCCTAGGTTACAGGGGGAAGGCAACCATCGCTACTCCAGATGCTGCGAATTACATCAGCCATAATGCTATACCAGCCTTAGTGCTGGGAAAGCATCAAGGGTGATGTAGTCCACGACATCTGGAGTCCCTCAGGCTGCCTACCTCTGGCTCCTAGGATAACCATGCAAGCATTATACCTACAATGTGTGATAGTAAGATTAGGAGAGTAGGCCAAAGCTGATCTAACTTGACACTGGAAAAGGGAGTCACAGAGAGAGAGAGGCAGTTAATAGAGCACCAGAACTACAACTAACATGATGCTTTGCCATCTACAGCTAGCTAAATAACCTAACTGTTCTAGCTGAGAACTACAAAAAAAAACCTACAGATAATCCAATGGGTCTTTCAACACAACAGCCAGGGTGGTGGTGGTGGCCAAGAGTCAGACTCCCAGCTGCTGTAAAACTACCAATCCCGAAATGCTGGGCAAGGGGTGGCGAAGCATGCCGGGAGTCGTAGTCCTCCGGCGGCTGGGAGCCTCCCTTGCTGTGACAGGATTCCCTGTGACTGGGGGTTAGTCAGGGCGGATCGGCCTCGGCCGCCATATTGTGGCAGGAGGACTCGGCCTGAGAGGGCTGTGAGGGGAGCGGGGAGGGTTACTACCTCCACCTGCCGAGCTGGGATTTGGGGGTGGGTATGAGAGGATTGGGGGGGGGGAGCCTTATAACGAAATAAAAATATCTTTTGTAATAAAAACCTTGGCGATTTGTGCTTCGATAACAGTGACGATGTCCTTGGCGAACTGCACGTTCTCCTCGGCCAGGATGGTCAGCATGTTAATGTGGGGCTTGCTGTTGAAGGTCAGGTCTTCCAGCGACGACTGGTAATCCCGACACGCGTCTTCTCTGGCCTCCGCCTCCGACATCTTGGAGCTGGCTGGGCGGGGGGGCACCGAGAGAGCTCTACCCGGCTCGGTCACACTCTCTGAGGGGGGGAGCTCGGGGGGCCTACACGGGCATGGCGGGAGAGCGAGCGAGGAGATACACGGGCCTGGACGGGCAGAGCGCGGGCCCAGCTCACTCCGCTCACTTCGCTGCTCTCGGACAAAATGGCGGCGGCTGGCCTGGCCTCTCCGAAACCCCCGTACAACGGTGAGGCAACGTCTCGCGACGGCTCCTCGCGATCCGATTGGTTGGCCGGGTAGGGGTGGGAGGGGCGAGAGAAAAAGAGGGCGGGAAAAAAAGATGGGAGTTGCGCAATCCTTCAGGCAGTTACGTGGGCACGCAGGCCACGCCCGCTGATGGCGTACGTCGAAGCGCGCGCCGACTGGTTGGTTGCCATGCCTGCTAGAGAGACGGGCTGTGTGTGAGAGAGAGCAGCCAATCAGATGTGGAGATTTACACTTAAAGGGCCAGGCTGCCTGCTATTGGCTGTGATTAGATAATGATGACATCATGTATTGTTATTAAAGGAGACACATTGTCACTAAACAGAGAGATTTATACTAATTCATCAAATTCACCAACTATTTATTACATATTACAGGGTTACAATGGGTATAAATAAGAGGGTTTTACATATATATATTAAATATCACTACTTATAAATATTATACATCTCTCTCTTACATAAAAATATATTATATCTCTGCTTTTATTTATATATATATTATATACACTGCTCAAAAAAATAAAGGGAACACAAAAATAACACATCATAGATCTGAATGAATTCAATATTCTTCTGAAATACTTTGTTCTTTACATAGTTGAATGTGCTGACAACAAAATCACACAGAAATTAAAAAATGGAAATCAAATTTTCAACCCATGGAGGTCTGGATTTGGAGTCACACTCAAAATTAAAGTGGAAAAACACTACAGGCTGATCCAACTTTGATGTAATGTCCTTAAAACAAGTCAAAATGAGGCTCAGTAGTGTGTGTGGCCTCCACATGCCTGTATGACCTCCCTACAACACCTGTGCATGCTCCTGATGAGGTGGCAGATGGTCTCCTGAGGGATCTCCTCCCAGACCTGGACTAAAGCATCTGCCAACTCCTGGACAGTGTGTGGTGCAACGTGACGTTGGTGGATGGAGCGAGACATGATATCCCAAATGTGCTCAATTGGATTCAGGTCTGGGGAACGGGTGGGCCAGTCCATAGCATCAATGCCTTCGTCTTGCAGGAACTGCTGACACACTCCAGCCACATGAGGTCTAGCATTGTCTTCCATTAGGAGGAACCCAGGGCCAACCGCACCAGCATATGGTCTCACAAGGGGTCTGAGGATCTCATCTCGGTACCTAATGGCAGTCAGGCTACCTCTGGCGAGCACATGGAGGGCTGTGTGGCCCCCCAAAGAAATGCCACTCCACACCATTACTGACCCACTGCCAAACTGGTCATGCTGGAAGATGTTGCAGGCAGCAGAACGTTCTCCATGGCGTCTTCACACTCTGTCACGTCTGTCACATGTGCTCAGTGTGAGCCTGCGTTAATCTGTGAAGAGCACAGGGTGCCAGTGGGGAATTTGCCAATCTTGGTGTTCTCTGGCAAATGCCAAACGTCCTGCATGGTGTTGGGCTCTAAGCACAACCCCCACCTGTGGACGTCGGGCCCTCATACCACCATCATGGAGTCTGTTTCTGACCGTTTGAGCACACATGCACATTTGTGGCCTGCTTCAGGTCATTTTGCAGGGCTCTGGCAGTGCTCCTCCTGTTCCTCCTTGCACAAAGGCGGAGATAGCTGTCCAGCTGCTGGGTTTTTGCCCTCCTACGGCCTCCTCCGCATCTCCTCATGTACTGGCCTGTCTCCTGATAGCGCCTCCATGCTCTGGACACTACGCTGACAGACACAGCAAACCTTCTTGCCACAGCTCGCATTGATGTGCCATCCTGGATGAGCTGCACTACCTGAGCCACTTGTGTGGGTTGTAGACTCCGTCTCATGCTACCACTAGAGTGAAAGCACCGCCAGCATTCAAAAGTGACCAAAACATCAGCCAGGAAGCATAGGAACTGAGAAGTGGTCTGTGGTCACTACCTGCAGAACCACTCCTTTATTGGGAGTGTCTTGCTAATTGCCTATAATTTCCACCTGTTGTCTATCCCATTTGCACAACAGCATGTGAAATTGATTGTCACTCAGTGTTGCTTCCTAAGTGGACAGTTTGATTTCACAGAAGTGTGATTGACTTGGAGTTACATTGTGTTGTTTAAGTGTTCCCTTTATTTTTTTGAGCAGTGTATATATATTATATATCTCTCTTATAAATATTATATATCTCTATTTATAAATATTATATATCTCTACTTATATATTTTATATATCTCTACTTATATATATTATATATCTTTACTTATATATTATCTTTACTTATAAATATTATTAAAAAAAATATGAATCCTTGCACTCAGGCTGTAACTCACATAAATGGCTGGGTGCAATAAAACCAAGACTTCAATATCCAAACGTAATGTAAAGGTGGCTGCACTCACGGTTCTTGTTAAAAATCTAAATTTTATTCCAACATCGTTAAAAATAAAGAGATCAACGTTTTAGTACCTCTCACAGACTTTCCTCAGGATCATTTATTGTAATTACTAGGAAAGTGCCTGAGAGGGACTGAAATGTTGATCTCTTTATTATTTAACGATGTTGGAATAAAATTTGGACTTTTAACAAGAACTGTGAGTGCAGCCACCTTTACATTACGTTTGGGTATTATATATATCATATATATCCAGTTAATATGTGCTCAGGAGTTGGTTTTATTAACCAGATGTTATCTGAATGGAAGATGGTTTTGTACATAGTTTTTTTAATCCAATGACCAAATGGCACACTGAGACAGTGGTGCGTTAATGGAACACCACAAGCACCATGAACACTAGAGCCATTAGTAGTTGCTGAAAAACATGCAGCTTTAAAAACAGTTTGACAAATTACACCGGGACGGCATCTCAGTACTCAGCATCTCAGTACTCGTAGCCTTACAACTACTACACATACGTTTCTGAAGCCATTTTGTGAATGGGGAGCTACTGATTAGCTTGGAGCGTCAGCCAATCAGCTGCATCCCTGCGAGGCTTCCATTTTGAAAATTTTCAGAAAGCGGATGTTTGTAGGGATTGAGCGGAACGACACTGGCCAAAAGTGAGCACCAACGACCTCCTGCACCATGACAATTTCATTTTATAAAATTGCTATGGTGCCTGGATGGTCCTTTTAATGTTTGTGTTAATTATTATAACCCATCCTTTTTAAAGGCGCTGTCTAACCACTATATTCTTCCATAGCCATTACATTTGCTGGGTAATAACATGAAGGTCTAGTAGAAACGGTAGACACTGTTGGGAAGGCTGATGTGAGGTCTTTTCAGTGCCAATCTTAATACAGCGCACCCTACGTTTTATTCCCCACAGTGACTTTAGCCCTAAACTCAGTCATGAGGAGTAAGACTGGGGAGCTGTGGAGAACAAGACAAAGGATGGGTGGTAGACACTACGGGAAATACGTGGGTGACTCAGGACCCCCACAGGTTCTCCAATCCTCCCTCCATTTTATTTCCCACAATGCACTCATCGTTTTATTAAAACTCATATATTGTGCATTACTATTGTGTGATTCAGTAATATGCAGTGTTTGAATTTTATTATTTTTAGAGCTGTGTTAATTGCTCATATATAATACAAAATGAATTACAGAAACCAACAAAAATAAATACACAATACTGTGCATTGTCGAATAGTGTCTTTTTATATCTTCCATAAAAAAACATTCCAGTGAACCTTCCGAGAATGAGCCCTGGTTGTGTCCATGCACGTTATTTCAGATTTATTTAAATTCAGAAACTAAAAACATTTAATAAAGCAGGAGGCTTTAATCATAATTTTTCCTTCCACATCATATAATATTGCTGTAAATAAATATGCATCAGAAATGATCAGCTATCTGTGATATGCTCATAGGTTTGTGCAGGGCGTGTGCCAAGTGTGCTCAAGGTGTCCTTGTGTTTAGGGCCTTACCTGTTCTTTGGAACAATTTCAAAGAGTTTATTTTATGTTGTAAAAACTGTAAACACCTGGTTATTTCCACATAAAAAAACCAAAAAGCAATTAGCATATAATATGTCTCATTTAATTAATCTAGCAAAGTTCACTTAGTTTAAGAATGTAAGTTTTATAGATATGTAGAGTTCTATTATAAATGTTCTTCATGATTTTGTATTCAACCCTGGTGATTCCTGCTGTGTACTCCAATTCATATGATTATCTGTTAATTTACATGATTTTATGGTCTTAACTTTACAAAGAGACAGGTAAGTTTATCTGTAATGAAATATTCGATGACACTCCCTGGGTTTTACCTAAAATTATAATATGGACATTCCCTACTATTTCAAGACTCCAGGGTGTCTTTTTAAAAATGTTCAAATTTTTCCATATCTCTTAAGCCTTTTTAAAAACATTTTTTTTAAAATTAGTTCTGCCTTCTTGCTTCATTTCTCTAGTATATTATGTTTTATTTATTGTGCTGAAAATTAAAATTGGCACATTACGCGGAGAGTACAAGGTTCAAGGTTCAATGACGATACTTTACTGTCTAGCTTCAGAATGCAAAATGAAAAACCCTGTATATGAGCTGTAATTGCAGTTTGGACATCTCCCACTTTGTTAGGATACATGTACTTGTTTTTGAAATGTTCTAATTTTATGAAATTGTAAAATTGGACATTTATCAATGAGCAAATTGCCCCCAAATTTGGCCATCCTGAAACATATTTTGAGATTTCAATTCACATGCATTTTCACAACACAATTTTTGTGTAAATTCTCCATCTCTGACGCCAGCCTTCAAGACTTCTATAGGGCTGCGCCGTTCCTGCTCCGTTAGACTCTTACCCAGTCTCTGTTCTTTCAAAAGATTATTAAAACCCACTTCTTTAGGAAAGCATATCAATTAAATTATTCCCTCCCTGCACTTTGGTTACCCACCCTGCTTTCTTTCCTGCAACTGTGTCATCCAAAACAACTACCCCTTTACTGTAAACTACGTTTTCCCTTACGTCTTGTGCCGCTTTAACCCACCCTCTGTTAGTGTGCGTCCAACTTGTCTTGTTGCAAATACTTGTCTATTAGTCCACCTATTTTACTGCGCTGTGGAATTAGCTAGCTGTTGCGGGACCGTT